CTTCGACGTTGGGTCCTCCTCTGAGCATCTGGCTGGTTAGTCAGTTTCTGAACTGCAGATTAGCAGATTATTCAAAGGGGGATACCGTCAATGGGATTTTAGACGAATCTATCAACATTGTTGTGATCCTATCAATGATAAACTCGCGTAGCGTATCATTCATTGCTCGGCATGTTCGGGCCATTGTTTTGATAGTAAGACCATCTTCAGAACTTTATTCGACCGTAGAACGCGTCTAACATCGGGTCTGTCAAGTACCTGAATTATTATGCGTAGGGAAAACATGCGAACGAGGAACTAAGGCAACGACTGTGAATCACACACATATAATGGATGATCGATAACTCCGGGACGGTGAAGAGATAATTCCCAGACAACCAACCTATGATCAGCCTATCCAGTGATTAAAGCGGAATGTGCACAAGTTTTAGAAGCGAAGAGAATTGCCGAGCTACATGGAAGGAACAGAGTTCAGACGAATCCTTCGATAGTTCCAAATTCGTTGATCATGGCAACCTGAGATTTAGACTTCAAAAGAACGTGAAAAAAAGTGTGTATGGTTGATTATCGCGTCCGGCACGCATAACATGGGAAAGAACGAGGGGGGTACAGCGCGTAAAGGAACGTGGAATGATGGATACCGCGACGCGACGGTCCAGAAAATTTTACTTGCGTCCCTTCTTTCGTGGACTGGTGCTACCTCTGACAGCAGCTTTGCTCGTCCCAGCCTTCGGCTTTGTAGGAGTGCTCCTGGCCTTCTTCTTCGGGCTTCCCGTGTCCGCGCCCCGGGCCTGAGTCGCCCTCCTTGCTGGATTCTTGCGCTTCCTGGATGGCGTGGTTTCTTGTTCTTCCTCGGGCCACTCGCGCGCGACGTGGACAAACCCAGGATCGACGAGTTTCGGATCGATGCACAGCTGGGGCGGCTGAGGCTTGCACTGTGTGTAGCGCGGGGTCAGGGGTTGGTTCCACCCCTTGAGAGTGCCTATCCGAGGTTGAGGCTCTGCGATGACGGTTGGTGCTGGGGGTTTGGCCGCGTCGTTCTGCATCGGGTATTCTTCGTTGTAGAGGGAAGGGTCGACGAGATCTTCTAGCTCCCATTGGGGGGGACCGGCGTACGAATCTTGTCTCTGTGTCGACGGCGCAGTCCTACGAAAGGTAATATTAATAAGCTTTGTTGATCTCACAACGTAGATCGACTTGCCATTGGTCAGGGAGGGATGGCATGTCTTCTGGAGTTGTGAGATGCGACTGGGTTGAGGAATTGTTTGGGGAAAGGAAGGGTGCACCGTTGTGCGCGCGCCTTTTATGAGGGAAGTACTCTTCATTGTACTAAGACAATTGAATGTGGTCGCGGAACTCGGACCCGCAAAGATGGACCAGAAAGTGAATTGTGAACTTCACAGTGAAATATGATGTTCAATGAAATAAATAGATTCCATTATTAGCGCCCCGTGGCATGGGTGGTCGATCTTTTTGTCCTGAACTGTATCTACGAATAATGAATGGCTTGTCACAGTCTCGTAAGAAAACTCACGGCAGGTCTTCAATGTTCATGAAATAATAGGCGACAAAGGGACAAAAAAGGAAAAGCTACATAAACTTGATGGTTCCTTCAGTCCTCTAGTTCCTCTAGGTGGTGGTAAAGAGTTTGGAATGACTATCCACAGAATCTGATAGTTCACTTGTCTCATTCCTGCTGACATTACTTCGGGCAAATAGTCAAAGCAAAGTCAAAGAAATTTAGCATATTTGGTCAAATTTTGGGTGGCATGTCGATATTTCGATCCAAGTTGGAGCACTGAATGACGCCACATTACGGACACGTGACTTGACATCAGAATTAATAATGATCGTCTCGCGGATATGCTTAAAAGAGAGAAACCCACCCATCTTCCTTTCCTACTCCCATCTCCATCGAAACTGCACCATGGCCAACACTCTTCCTGATCTCCCTTATTCTTATGATGCTCTCGAGCCCTTCATTTCTCGTCAAATCATGGAGCTTCACCACAAGAAGCACCATCAGACCTATGTCAATGCGCTGAACGCAGCTGAGGCTGCCTACTCAAAGGCATCGTCCGCCAAGGAGCGCATTGCACTTCAGGCTGCCCTCAAGTTCAACGGTGGTGGTACGTTGGACGCGGCGTGTTGCGCTGCGACGACTTGCTGACTGATCTGATTGTCTTATCAGGACATATCAACCACTCTCTCTTCTGGAAGAACCTCGCTCCCGCCCACTCTGAGGGCAAAGGAAACGGAGGTGTCCTGCATGGTGGATCTCTCAAGGATGCTATCGAGGGCACCTTTGGCAGTGTTGACGCCTTCAAAAAGCAATTCAACGCTACGACCGCTGGTATCCAGGGATCCGGCTGGGGATGGCTCGTGAGTAATCATACTTTCGTGTGGATGGCGTCACTCATATCATATCATATCATTGCGTCGCAATTTTCAGGGACTTAACCCCATCACCAAGCGTCTTGAAATTGTCACCACCGCTAACCAAGACCCTCTGTTGACTCATGTTCCCATCATCGGTGTCGACATCTGGGAGCACGCATTCTATCTCCAGTACCTCAACGTCAAGGCTGACGTATGTGTCTTACGTATTGTGTAATGACTGAATGGCTGACTAAGAGTGTACAGTATTTGAACGCTATCTGGTCCGTTATCAACTTTGAGGAAGCCCAAAAGCGCTACGATGAAGGAATCGCTGCCAAGCTCTAAGTCTGTTTTTATGTGAGAAGAAAGAGAAAAGAAGACAGAAATTGTATTACTTTCGTGGGACTAACTGATTATCTTGTATCAACGGTTGCTCAAAATCGCATGTTTTTCTTCCTCTCTTTTGTGGAATTCGGCCGATTTTCGGATTTGGTTCGACTCAGCGCTATGGCGCTCAGCAACAAGGTATCTTACCTGATCCGCCTGTGCAAGTCAGACAACCACCTGCAAACCTCAAGAAAGTCCTTTTCGCTTGACTATGTGAGCACTATCCGCATGTTCTGGCACGGGGTAGGTATCCCTTGATTTAATCAATCACTGTTCTTCGTGCTAAACTTGATATTTGAATAGTAGGAACATTAAGGTCAATACTGGTCAACTGTGGTTTCAATAGTTGCAGACATAGTTTATCCTTCTGTGATGACCTCTTGTACGTAGAGTCTATTCAATCACATTCCCAGAGTAAGCAAACCGGTGTCGGCGGTTCGCTGTATGTCGGCGTCTTGTGGTCAAAACGGGACGTGCTGCCTGCAGTTCGTGGGTGATGTGCGGTCGTGGCCGGGATTTGAAAGGTGACGTGCCGCCTTGAACCTTAATGCTCTCTTGCGGAGCGGCCGTTTCCTTATTTTGTCTAGGTGCGATGAATGGGAACTACAAGGCTCTATAGGATACCAATGATAGAGGCGACCCAACTCATATGGAAACTTAGATGCCAGAGGTGCATCCCCACTGCCCAGAGAAGTAAACGAGATCCAGAGTAACTGGCTTGAATTAAATAAACCAGAGACTTACTCTGGATAGGCTGGCTGCTGACAGACTACGTTTGAAGCACAAAACTGAACATGTCGCGTTTACATTCGAAAGTACTTCAGAATCCTGGATATTCACTGGGAGCAATTCCAGAACTTGTTACAGTTCCAACTGTCCATATTTCTTGTTGACTTCTCGTTCCTGGAAAAGCGTAAATTGCTGAAATATCATTCGAGGTTTCTGATCAAAGGCCCAGGAACGCATCAGGTGCGTGCGCGCCCCACGTGATGGGAACTTTTGTCAACTCGGGAGTAAACAAACCAAACGATACCAGAATCGTGAACGCGTCTTTTGCTTTTGCCCATCACCTCATTTTTTTCGCTCCCCGATATTTCCTCCTCGGCTGTCCCCTGACGATGCCTCGTAAAGCCGCCGCTGCTACCAATGAGGCTACAGAGCCTCGTCGTTCATCGCGTATCAAGGAACAACCCAAACCAGCCTTGGCGGTAAAGAAGGCTGCGGCGAAACCTAGAGCCAAAAAGGCAGATAAGGAAGCCAAGGCTGATGTCGAGGAAAAGCCAAAGACTCCTAGAGGCCGGAAGCGTAAGACTGCTGAAGAGGTGAACGGTGAGGAGGCGCAAACCGAGAAGGAGCCCCCTGTGAAGAAGGTATAACCGCCCTCTATTGCCGATCGAGCGCTAATTTTTTGACTCTATCCAGACCAAACCTGCATCCAAAGCGAAGCCTGCGTCCAAAGCCGCTGAAGCTGCTGCTGCTAACCCTGCATCCAAGCCCCCTTCCAGGGCCTCCGCCAAACCGCCCTCCAGAGCTGCGTCCAAGAAGCCTGCATCCAGGGCTGGATCCAAGAAACCATCCTCCAAGGCATGTTGAGTTGCTTCTCTCGTCTCTCCTGGCGCTATTCTGCGGTTATCAGCCCCTTGTTGGCATGTAGTGCCTGTAATGGTCTCTGCTCAGTGGCTATCGATCTCCTTTTCAATGACTGGCGTGAGCACGGCGCTGATCCTTGCCTTTTTCGTTGTTTCCCTTTGCCTGTTTAATCTATAGGTCGGTGCCCAAGAGCCTGCAGCCGCTGCCCCAGTCGTTGAAGAGACCATTGCCGAGGAACCTGAGGCTGAAGCTGAAGCTGAAGCTGCGGCTACTGCTGCTGCTAATGGCGATGTGGAAGGCGAGGTCGAGAACAAGGTGCGTAGACTTCCTCTGTAATACTTTCCATTTGGTAAAGCTGGATACAGGAGACGGAGGAAGAAGCTGCGCCTGTCGAGGCCTGATCGTCCAGTTCCGACAGCGTCCCCCTTTATCACTGTCCCATTCACAACTATTCTACCCGCTGCGCGTTCTTTCCTTCTTCCACATAATAGATGGGAGACGGTGCACAGCGGGAATGTGTATCAATCTGATGATCCGGATGCGCCAAACGACCACATTCCCATTGTTTAAATATCTTTTCCATCGTGCTATCGCTGTCTGCTTTCCTTTTTATTGCGCCTACGCGGCACCACTAACATGTTTAGGGTGTTGTTTTCGTATCTTATTCCCTCGTATTGTGTGTATGCGTGCGGTCCGTCTTCGTTGAAAATGTAGCTCGTATCGTCCCATCGTACATCTTTAGCTTTCTTTGTACATTTTTTTAAGTCTCTGTACATCCCTTTTTTTTCTATTTGTTTTTGGCTTATCTGTATGTTGAAGATTATAACTATTATGTAGTCAGCTTTAGCTCCAGATATCTAAGAATGTATCTACTGTGGCAAAATTGTGGATTATGCTTCCTTTTCACCGCGCTGAACTCTTCTGGGTGTAACGGTAGTAGAGTGCGACGTACATATATTCGCTCTCAAGTAGAAAATTGGACCGCAGACCATCGAACAAAATTTTCCGGACTAGCGGCGCATAGGATTACTTTTTCGTGGGCAAGGGAATGTCCATGCAAATTTGCTGAGAAAGTGGGGCGACCGACATTATTTCGGCATTTCCCGTGACTTTCTCATATCTCTCCCAATTGTTGCTTATTTCTTCTCTACTCGGAGACTCATCTTTTCGTACGAGAGAACTCGGATAAATTTTTCTTTTGCTGCTTTCGCTGTTGTTTCTGTTCCTGTTCGTCAAGGCTTCGAACCCAGAAGGCAGAAATGATGCCGTCAAGTTTCGTGCCACCCCCCGCTGTCAGCATCGTGAATGTGTTGGGAGTTCCGTGAGCCCGTAACTGTGCAGTCGGTTGTCCCTTCGTTATTATCTCTGACTGAGATGGGACAAAAGTCCTGCAGATTTCGAACAGTAGCAGCCCCGAGAACGGGGGTATGAACTTGTTGTAAGTCTCGGAGCTCAGTATTTTATTGGTAGGTCATATTATATATCTTGGTCGGGGATTTGGACCATTTACATTTTAAGTTTTTCATAATAGCTGACGAAAGCTCCTCCAAGTTGCGCACTATTACGCCCGTACTGAAAGTAACTTGAGCGGAATTCTCTCTGCCGCCCGCTATACTATTCTCATGCAATATTAGGTCGCAGGATGGCATTAATGCTACGGCTCAAACAATACAACTTGACTTCACAGATGCTCTTGTGTCTGTATCCGTGAAACGTCATCAAGCTGGAAGACCGCCGTATCTCCGTGTTTACTGTATCATCAAAAGCACCATATTGCATCAAAAACGCAACCACATGGATCCCGAATTCGCTTCTGTAGCGTTCTGTCCCATTCAGTGTCCACCACTCCTAGCTATGACGACGTCTCGGGGTCTATTTGTCCCCGCTATTTCCCAGTACCTCTGCGCAGCTCATCAGAGCCCATCTCGCATGTGTCTTCCTAACATTGGAAATTATTTTTAGCGCACGTTCGGGTGGGAGTGTTATATATACCTCGTCGAAGTACCTTGACCATCGATGGGCCTTCTCCAAGTGGTCTTGTGCGCACTTTCACCTGCTCTCCTCCGGGCGTCGCCTGTGAGGAAGGCTAGTACTGACACGTCTGTGGTACTCAATGGGCAGACTTTTATCAATAAAGGAATCGTCGCGTTTGGCTTGATCCCGTCAGATGCCGTAGACTCGACGGGCGATACCCTTGGTGGTTTTGGGAGTGCCATGGCGATCAAGTACAGGACGTGGACGGATATTGGGAACGGAAGTTTCTCGGGCACACTGGTCGCACATCCAGATCGTGGGTACAATGTGTGCGTTTGCCGACCCCCTTCCCCCCCTTCCCTCCTCCTCCGGTTTTTCCATTTGCTGACCTCTCTGTAGGGAAGGGACGGTAAACTACCAGGCCCGCCAGCATGATATTGACTTTGTATTGACGCCCTATTACGGCACGGACGACTTGAGCTTTGACGACGCGCAAGGGACGCTTACGGTGGTGTACAAGAACACTACGCTCCAGTATGAGAGAGATGACAACAAGACTACAGGTCTTGATAGCCTAGGCGTGCGTCCTGCGATGGCAGGGTTTCCCTTGGACCCCTTCGCGGACCCACAGATGCCCGTGCCGATTACGATACCGAATCTGTCCATTGATGCTGAGGGGATCATTGCGAACCTTGATGGATCGTAAGTTGGATTTGAATGCCGGTCATTGAAACAGGGCTAAGTGTTGCGTGCGGAATAGGTACTGGGTGAGCGACGAGTACGGACCGTACATCTACCGCTTCTCGGGGGACGGACATCTAATCCAGACTATCCAACCACCTTCAGCGATCCTCCCTCGCGACTCCGACGGGAACCTGAACTTTACGTCCGAAACGGATCCAAGTACTGGAAGAGCTGGCAATCAAGGTGAAGAAGCGCCGTTTTTGAAAGTTTTTATTGGAGGAAAACTGACGTTTTTCGTTCATAGGATTCGAGGGCCTGACGTTCGACGTCGACAGTGAGATTGTTTATGCAATGCTGCAGTCGGCGACTATTCAGGACGGTGGAAATGACTCGACCACATCGAGGTACACCCGTCTTTTAGCGTATGATGTGTCCAACCCCACTGTCCGTCCTGAGCTTGTCGGTGAATGGGTCGTGCCGTTGCCGCAGAGCAAGAAAAACAAGACGAGGGCATGCAGCGAGATCGCGTTCGTAAGCCCTGGTGTGTTCTTCGCGTTGTCTAGGGATGGAGATGGAAGAGGCGGGGACGACCTCGAGTCCAGTTACAAGTAAGGTTTTCAAGTGGACTTTAGGGATGCGTGTGCTGATGGTAGGTTCAGGCAAGCGGACCTTTTCGATATCTCCAACGCCACGGACATTCACGGTACCAAATTCGACGATCCTGCGAACCCCATTGCCATCGATGGCGAGCTTGATGCTGATATTATACCAGCCACGTACGTGTCGTTCGTCAATTATCTTGACGACGACCAGCTGGCAAGGTTCGGTCTGCAGAATGGTATGTGTGGCTGGCTGTCTGCCTACGCACACAACTCTCGCCTGACTGACTGACTGACTGACCGACCTCTCTCCTTAGGCGACGAAGATGACGACACGCACATCAACGCAAAGTGGGAGTCATTCTCGCTTGCTCCTGTCGATGACCCGGATTATCCGGATGATTATTTCTTGTTCACTGCTGTGAGTGGTGGTATTACGCTGCTGCTGCTGTTTTGATGTTGATGTGCGAGTACAGTCGGACAACGATTTCCTCACAACGAATGGGATTTCAGTGGGAGAGCCGTATGATGCTGGTGAGGATGTGGACAATCAGTTTTTGGTGTTTAGGGTTACGCTTCCTAGTGTGGTTCCTGGGAGCGTTCAGCGGCTCTTGGGCGTGTAACGTATTAGGGATGATGAGAAGAAACGGACGTCCACCTTGATGCGCGTCAGCTGTGTTCATTTCTAAAAGCCTTCTTTAGGTCTATGGCATCGATTTTTTCCCCGGAGTTGGTGGTCACTTACAACGGTCCACGTTCGCGCGTCAGACCAAAGCTGGTATATTCAGATTGCAGACATGAGCGCTAGCAGTGTACCTTCATATCGCACGCCTTGACGACATCTCCCCTTGGGCACCTGGCCCGAGCATCATCAATCAGTAAGTTATATTTTCCAGCCTCTGGCCAAGTTCACGCTCTCATCATGTATCTTAATGAAACTGTGGTAAGTGGCTTGTTTTCATTCTGTGTCCACAAGTCCTTCATCGATTACGCAAGGTACACACCTATCTGTATGGCGCCCCCCCCGTTTGTCTCTGCCTGGATTATAACCATGAACTTTCACTCTATAATGGGGGGCTTTTTGCAAGAATCAGCAGGCTTTCGTTCCGCATGCATCTAATCTGCTGTCGATTCAGCAAGCCAGCTGCGTCAGATGAACTGTATACACTATCCACTATGACGTGGTGGAGTACATTCCCCGCTCCCGAGTCTGGTTTCACCTGGTCTGTTGTGATGTAGCATGGTAACGTACTATTTGTTCTGTGTCAGGATTAATTCATGCAAGTTTGCGGTTCGTATGGCGAGAGGCAATTCCGAAAGACAGTAACAAATTTTTGGAAGATGTTATGAACAGGAGAAAGATCATCGGTTGTTGTTCAGAAGGGCCACACTGGATCATGATTAATATTGGGCTCTAAACCTTTTACGAACTTCTATACACCTCGGCACGACCAAGTCTACCTCCCTCCACACCTGACTTGCCTGGTAGGCTTCGGTTGGACCACCACACCTTCTCGAAATAAATGAAACTTCCATATAAGCCACCACGCTAGATCCTCTCACGCTCTATTGAAACCTTATGACCAATTCACAATCCTTGGAGTCGCTGAATAATGTAAATCCTCCGATCTAACGGCAGTGGATGCACGGAAGTTAACTGACTCAGGGCTTGTGGCCGCGTTCTATCGGTTTATTGAGAGGCAACAAAGGCAGTGAGTGGGCTACAAGCTAAATATACCAGTACCATGGGCCTCTGCGAGTCTTCCGACTGTTTTCTCCGCCCCCCCAACACCAGGAAGAGCGCGAGATAGAACTGACCCTACGTCATCCGAAATGAGTAATCGCTAGCACGCTTGTTTACGCGGATCTTTAATGGATCCTCGGTTACACAATGAATCGCACGATACACTCTTCTTTCAACACCAAAAAAAGTGGTCGGGCGCATCCTATATCCGCAATTTACGACACAGAAAAAGGAGCCTCGAGAATCTAACCGAAGTCCCTTGCGATGCGTCATAATTTACAAAGCCAAAGATAAGACATACGACCCGATGCCGATCGTATTCCGACGGCCGTAAAACATTTGATCATATGCACCGTGTAACCAGCGTTCCAGTTCTCCCCGGAGATATAAAGCGCCAGTGCAAACTCACGGCGTTTCGCAAAAAAACATTTTCCCCACGTCAATATGAACGATACCATCACTAACGATACCCAACATGAGCAAGGCCAAGATAGCGATGCAAGGTCCGGTACGATACATGTAGATGCCTCCGAGGAAGAAGATTTGGTGATAGACTGGAACGGGCCCGATGATCCTGAAAACCCTAAAAAGTGCGTCCGGGAACAATACTACTAATTAGACCTTACGACTGAATTTGTTAGCTGGGAATTCTCAAAGAGATGGAGGGCAACGGTGATCGTGTCGCTGTTCACATTTATCAGCCCCGTGTCGTCATCGATGGTGTCACCAGCGATGGAACAAGTCGCACAGGATTTAGGAATTAGTAGTTCGGTGGAGCTCGCAATGACGGTGTCGGTTTTCGTTTTGGCGTATGGTGAGCTAGCTTTTGTGCTCTTTTTTTTTTTCCTGGGAGGAAAGGGGGACTGATAAAGTCTCTTAGCTGTTGGACCTCTGGTCAGCACATCATCTTATATGAGTTCGACGATGGCACTCAAGTAACCTTTCATCCAGTTCCTCGGCCCGCTCAGTGAGATATACGGACGATCAAAAGTAATACAGTTTTCCAATGTGTTTTTCTTCGGTAACGTCGTACCTCTCCGCATTTTCGATCCAACCTAACAGCCCTGTCAGTGTGGAATCTCGGGTGTGGATTCGCCCAGACCAAGACGCAGCTCATAATATTCCGATTTTTTGCCGGTCTGGGTGGAAGCACGCCTTTGGCAGTTGGTGCGGGTGTTCTTGCTGACATGTGGAGAGCGGAGGAGAGGGGGAAAGCTATTGCTGTATATTCTCTAGCGCCCTTGATGGGTCCCGTCATCGGTCCTGTCGCTGGCGCCTGGATTGCCGAAAAGTCAACTTGGAGATGGGTCGTCAGTCTCCCACCTATCCTTCTGTATTCCGTTTCTGATGTGTAACCCCCCCAGTTCTACTCCACATGCATCTTCGACGTCTTCGTTCAATGCTTGGGACTCGTATTCCTCAGAGAAAGTAAGCGGAGTCAATTTTAAAGGTTTTTTTTTGGAGCTGTTTTTTGACTATTTATCTTGATAGGCTTTGCACCAGTACTTTTGGAGCGCAAAGCGGAGAAGATAAGGAAGAGCAAGGATCCTGAGAAGGGTCAACGAAATGTGCGCACTGTGTTTGACAAGGCTGGCACTCGGAGGTATGCATTTGGTTGGGTCTCAGCCTCATATTCTGATTGGTTATTATTGACCTTCTGCTCTAGCTGGCAACAAATTTTTGCAACAGCCCTCGTTCGCCCCTTTGCACTGTTTGTTCGCGAGCCCATCGTCCAGATAGTCGCTTTGTACATGGCGTTCATATATGGTGTCTTTTATCGTACGTCGGCCATTGCAGCCGTGGATGTAACTGACAAATTGTTATTCAGTGTATTTGACGACGATGCCAACGATATTCAGAGAGGTATACCACCAAAATACGGGTATCGCTGGGTTGCACTACATCGCGCTAGGTTTGGGTGTGAGCTTGGCCTCTCAAACCAACGCGAGGTATATGGATCGCGTTTACAAATATCTGAAGGAAAGGAACGGGGGCGTCGGGGAGCCAGAATTTCGCGTGCGTGAGTGCCGTCTTTGTTTTCTGCCAAGAGTGCATGCTGACAGGGTCGGGGGTAGCTTCGATGGTGCCAGGATCGATTGTATTTCCCATAGGACTGCTCTTGACTGGATGGTGTGCACAGAAGGGCGTCCATTGGATAGCGACTGACATTGGCATTGCTTTTGTCGGAGCGGGGATGATATTGAATTTCCAGTCGATGCAGACGTATGTTGTGGATACGTTTACGCTGTATGCGGCTTCAGGTGGGTTTATTCAGATATTTCTTTTTTTTTTCTTGTGGGTCGACGGTTAACGGGAGCTTAGGGCTCGCTGCGGTGTCGTGTCTCCGTTCCCTAGCAGGGTTCGGGTTTCCCCTCTTTGCGACATCCATGTATGATAAACTTGGATATGGAAAGGGTGACACTATTCTTGCTGTGGTCGCGATTGTCCTTGGATGCCCAGCGTACGCGTCATAATGTGTTTCTCATTCTGACGGTATTGACCCATCTCTTGCAGACCTTTCTTGTTCTGGAAATATGGCAAAGCAGTGAGAATGAAGAGTCGGTATACTAAGAAACCTACGTCGTAATCCTAGACCTGAATGGATTTTGCATCTCTTCGAATAATAGCATCTGCAAGGGAGTAAGTGGAAGCTCTATTCCAGTCTTCCTGTATATCGAGCACGAAATGACCTCTGTCATTTATGTAGTGATCAAGGATCGTGGCGAAGAGGAGGAACCAATAATTACTCTTCGGAGTAGTAGCCTCGTGGCGATTGATCGGTAACTTGCATCAAGTGGTTGTCATTGGGAGACATCCTGTCCTTGGCATGACATTAAACTACCATCCTGAGCAAGACTCTGCTCGATGCCCCAGCAGGATGGAGATTGGTTAAGTTTCCTCACCGTTCTCCAGAAAACCCAGCGATGGGCCTCAGTAGGACAGGGATTGGTTAAGCCTCGAGCACCGTTCTCTCAACTCTGGGGACAGGGGATTGTAATAGGGGGATATGCTTTAGAAAACCAGCCGACTCTGAGAAGAGACAGGCCACCTCCAGCTCACTGGTCAAAACCCGTTGGTTAAGCTTCGAGCACCGTTGGGACACCGGAAAGTGGTTAGTGCTGTACTCTGGGATCCCCTGGGGACTGGAGGAGAGTGCGAGACAGGTACTGATGTATGCTGCGGATCCGCGCTTAGGCACCAGCGAAGCACATGCATTGGAATGGGAAGGGACCATCCAACCTGAACCGTAGCAGGCTGGTCTAGTATGCCAACCTGGCTCGAGAGGACAAATATCGCCTGTCGGTGTGCTGCAGATTAAATGCTGTGGTATGCTTATGTTGTTTCCACGTGTCTGACCCCACCAGTTGCAGAAGGGGGATTACCAGGTGGCCCTCGCAAGAGAAGCCTTTACATGGGGTGGAGGGACCGGAACAAGAGGGACAGAGGTTCCAAACAGAGGTTCCAAACCAACCAACGCGGTAGCTTCTCTTATCCAGGAATGCACTTTCTCAGCTTGGGATGCTGGCTCTTGCCATCCTATGTTCCTGTGCATGTACAGCCGAGTCCTTTGCCATATGACTAATCCACACTCTTTCCCTTGTTCGAACTCCTTTTAGTGAGAAACTCGTCAAAGAGAAACTTGAAGCACCTTCACATCGACCAACACGGCGTCGGGTCCTCGTTCCACCCATCGGTCGGGGCTGCTTACCTTACCCTTGAAATCAGTCACAGTTTGGGGTGCGGGGTTCTTACTAGTATCCTTCGTTATCGCAGGTCAGGCATGATGGTGCAAAGCGGGATGAGCGAATTGCGCGCGCCTTGTGTTTCTGGGTCGTAGAGCTACTTCATACAGACGGCACTGCTATCTTTCGAAGCCAGATCCCCCCTTACCGTCCTCAATCTCGAATGTGTACACGCCAGTGGTGACCTCAAAACAACTGGCATGGCATCTGGACGTTGACGCAGCTTAGTGTCCATTGTATTGAACCCGCAATTGGATAGCACGCCCAACGACTTGGGAGCAGCAGATTCGTTTCCTCTCCTTCATTCCGACGTCCCTGCCGAGCCTAGCAAAACTACTCTGCTCGCCGTATCACGCTAAAACTGTTTCATGATCGTCCTTTGACAGGGGTTCATTCATCCCCGCTTTGAATCCCTGGCAGCTCCGCTCGGTTCGTTTATGGGGGCTGCCATCCGAAGCTTGTCCGTATCCTAGACAAGTTTCATTGGTATGGATGGGGAATCAAGTCAGGCAGATACCGTTCACCCGTGTCCGATGATTGGGGCGAAGCTCATGCTTCTGGCAGACTATCCCTTGCTGTTCTCAAGGACCGCTCCTTCGCAGCTGTAAAAAAAGGTTTCTCTTTATGATTGTTATTCCGGTGCCTCGGCGTCAGTTTATCATTCACTTGACATCTCGATTTCCTGTCCTCAAGTTCGTAGATTTCTACGGGATATGTCAACGGGTGTGTACAGGAGGGGAAGGGATGAGACAATGATGTAATGAGCATGTATTCTTAGCTAGTGTTATCTTTTTTTAGTTTCCGTCCTTCAGTGTCTAGACTCTTGAAATCACAATATTTTGCAGCCTGAGTAATTGGATAATCTCCTCTCGCAGTCCCTCTCGATCCCTATGAAGCCCGCTTGAAGTTTGCCCGTAGAAAATGTGGCGAGACCCAAGTCATTTTTGAACCTTATGGCGGACAAGGGGGGATTGTGACTCCGAGTTTCGTGGTGTGATGATTCTTGAAATGTCGCGCGCCGAACGTTGGCAGTGATTCTGAAACTTGTTGGTCCACGGCACTACCAGGTTCTTTTCACTCTTCCTTCTTCTCCGGGCTCACTCGTTTCTGTATCGCTAAACAACACAACGCAAGTGAATCTCCTCGAAGCCCACACGTCTATAAAGTCCTTACCATTTTCATAACACGCCAAGTCCAACATCGTTTTCCTTTCCACCCACTTTTTCCCGACGAAGTACAGTGCAGATACCACTGTAATACCGACAATCTAAGAGGACGTTTGTTTTAGCTGCTCAGACTCGTGTTGGTTAGTAATTTTACGCACAAAGTTTCTCGGAAAACGCCCGCGACCTTCGTTGAACTTGCCACCGTGTCTGTGCAGGCGGAAGGTCATGGCGTACAGGAGCGTTTGGAGAAAGGGAAGAAAGATGGCAACAGCAATTCGCATGATGATCGGCCCGTCTCGGCCCTCTCGACTGATCTACTATATATATACACAAAAGATAAAATACATTTGTTCGTTTACATTACCACACACCCTTCTCCCATCTGCGGCAAACCATCAGGGCCGAATCCAAGCCCTGGAGGAAGAGGGCCCATGATGCTCGTCGGCGGAGCGCCATACGATTGTATCTAAAAAACTGTCAGCGGAAAGGCAATACAGACGACAGGAGAGCCTACCTCGCTCATGAGATCCACAACCTTCTTCATATCAGCTGCGTTCTTATCGTCATACCCAGGAGCTTCGAACAGGGCTACGATTTTCTGCACGTAACCCATCTGGGTCTGGTATCGTTGCTTGTCTTCGGATGTTAGATCTGCAGGGGGGTTTGAAAGGAAGCCAGGGAACTATGCAGCTGTGAGTCAAGGGTATGGATGAGAAAATGTCAAATGCTTACTTTGTCGCTTAGTTCTTTTAAGGGCTCGTAGAGCACTTCCTTGCTCATCAGCTGGCCCATCATCTTCTCAAAGAACCCATCGATAGACTCCTCGCTCGCATCGAGCCCGCCATTCTCTTCCATTCCCAGATCCTTCAACATAGCCTCTATGCTAGCTAGGTCCAGATCTGAAGTCGATGTGGAGTCCTCAGCCTAGAATAATTAGACCAAAAGTGAACAAGATGGTCGGTAAACGTACCTTCAAATCCGACTCGCTCTGCTTCAGCTTGTCCATCGTCTGCTTGACCTTGGACTGAAAGTCACCACCACTACGGCCTGCGTCTTTGGGTTTATAGTCCGGGCCCATCATCTGTTGGACGTCCTCGCCTCCCTCGCCATTCATGCCTTCGACCAACATAGCCTCCCATGCAGCCTTCAACAGTCCAATCCGGTCTTCTTCGGTGTCGCCCTGAGAGTCGGAATGGCCTGCTTCCACTTGAAGCTCCCTCATCAGGTCCTCCATCCCCTTGACAAGTTCACGAGTAAACTCTGTTGTGAGCTCGTCCTCGTCGAGGTCTTCTGCCATCGAGCCGAGCTCCGTCTTTGCTGACCCCAGAATGGACTTTGGTGGAAGGTCTACAAGCGTGTTCGTATGTGGCCGTTCGGAGAACGTTGTCGTTGCTGTAGGCGGTGGAGGTGGGGGAGGTGAGATGGACGGCGGGGATGTTCTCGGTATGTTGAATTGGGATAGTACATCTTCAGATCCTGTTTGAATAGGAATTCACAGGAATGGTAATGATAGACTTCGTACCGTCGAACTCGTCGAAATCCTCCTCCTCAGTGTCCTGCACAGTTGTCCGCTTTGCCTTGGACATTGTGGCCCTTTACAGGTTGTCACAGTGCTTCTCCCCACAAGATGGAGGATCATAATATGACGGATGGCACTTACGGTCAGTTGGACGCTCGGGCAGTTGGTCGAGCCGCAAAGACAAGGGTAACCCCCAAAAGTTTGATGGCAGTCCATTCAGTAATTCACGTGAAAACAATTATGTACCATTTCAATCTTATCTAGTCGCCACCATTAATACTAGCGGTCGTCGCTTGACGGCTATCATACCTTGCTTTACCGATTTTTCTGTGGCTCCCAATAATCACTGCCTGACGAGACATGCTTTATTGTAGTGTCTTTCCCCTGGGTTACAAGACGACACCTTGTGAGTATCGATCGATGATGTTGTCTCCATGTCTACATCTTTCCTGGTCTTCCTATTGTGAACATGGGCAATCACTCTTTTTGATACGCATCGATGCTGGAGGGGTCACCATAGATACTATTCCTTCCCACCTTCCTAGAAGAAATTCCATTTCAGAAACCAAAATAAACACGGAGGAGCACCGACAACGCCTTTGAAGAGACCTAGGATTTGAACGACGGAAAAGACTGTTTATTCAAATTGCGACGTATAACCATTGAAATAAAATCCCCGCTTTCTGTTATCCCTATTAACTGACAACCACATGGACGCGTCTGAACGCGCTCCTAATCAAGTCTGTCATGTGGGGTAGACCTTTCGCGCAAAATTCTAGTCGGCAGCTTCGGCACCAGACTGTATTTTCGGAAGAAACTTCTGCCACTGGCTGCCGAGCGCCGAGCTTTTGGAGATAAGTGCGCTTATTTCCTCCCATTTCCAATAAGTTACAAAGAGCCCAATCTGATGGCTACCTCGTCTTCTGACGCCAAATGGCCCGCGCCACCAAATGGTCTGGAATATTATCCATGCTGAAACAGCCGCTGATGCCCTTGTCCTCGAGGGGTGTTCTTCCCCACAAGCTGGGGTTGGGGGGAAGGGTCTAATTGAATAATCGGCCAACACGCTCGGACCCATGTCTGAGAATCCACTCTCCTCTCTTTCGAAAGGGCGTTGCGTGACCTTGCTGACCCTGTCAAGGCTGTATCGATTGCCCTGGCTGCTGAGTCTGCTTACCTTTTTTTTCATCTCCGCAAGGTAGTTGTTACTCCACATTTTGCCCCTTTGTCAACGTATGTGTTCCGCATTTTCCCGTAAGCAAGTTTCCCCTTGTCGTGGCTCGTCATAAGTCTCGATCCCGTATATCGGAGTTTCTCTTTCGGTTTTTCTCTCGTATGTCAGATCTGCATTCCTCGTCTTCCATGGCTGTGTTTCGTTGAGGTTTTTTTTTTTCCTGGTGTACTACATACTTCTCCAGGCTTTTAATAACCAATTCTATTTCGATCTCAGTTACCCCGCACGCCACTCGGTTGCCTGTGGCTTCGTTCCATTATTTTTACAACCGCCTACAGCCACCTACTGCTTTTCCAGCCCTTCCGAGTTGTTACGTATGTCGACCGCAACAAAGATAGGCAGATTACTTCGTCAAACCGCGATCAGCGTGTCCATGATGAGATTTACCATTACCATTTTAGGAATTGCTTACAATTTTGATGTTGCTTTCTACCAACATCGTTAGCATGCTCACGGGCTCTGAGCGCAGCATGTCGACATCACCAGATCATTGGAACACCTATCGGCAACATTGCTTCAAATCAAAGCAGTATCCGCTTCCCAATTTCCAAAATGATGTATTTTGTAGCAAACTCGGCGGCTCGGCACAGAAGTTTGAGGGTAAAAGTATGGGATTCCAAATTCCAATCATCGGGAGTCAGACGACTTGCCTGACCTTGTATTGTACCTCGAGGACGGCCCCTTGAGCGAAGTGGGATTGAGTGTGCTCTGACGACGGCCAGTGCCACGACACCCTCCCCTTTTCGAAAAGGCTCCTAACCAACCCACGATCGATCGTTTACGGGAAATTTCGGTACCCCAAGAGTAGCCAACCACGATAACTTACCCCGCATTTTTCTTGTTCTGATTTTTCCTACAATATGCCTCCAGTAACGACCTCGGATACGCAGCAGGAGACACAGACGTCTTCGATTCTCAAGGAGCGTCGGTTCAAGCTGAGCAGGTAAGTCCCAACTCTTGTGCGGATCATCGGAACGGCGGCGCTCACTGTGACTGATAACAGGGCATGCGATCGTTGTCGGTATGTATCATCCATTGTTTTCTCAGTTGGTGCGCAAATCTGACTTGTATTAGGCGGAGGAGAATCAAGTGCGATGAAGGCCATCCCTGCCAGGCCTGTCTTACCGCCAATTCAGCATGTACATTCGAGGAGCCTGGGAAGAGGACTCACCCACACAAGTCCAAGTAGGCAGTTTCTGCCAGCATAATTGTTTCTTCTTACTGATAAGGTATACTAGGCGAACTGCGACGCTAGAGGACCGTATGCACCACCTCGAAACGCTAATACAAGCGATACCACCCGCGGTGTTCGCTGCTGGTGGTGCAGCTGCTGCAGTGAACCCAGCTAAGCAGTCTTCTCCCACCGACATCAACAGCCCTGCTTTTGCCTTTCCTTCCTTTCCCTCGGGAATCCCCCCACCTTCCTTGCATGTTTTTCCACTAACCAACCCATCGACACATTTCTCACCACCTCCTCAATCTGCTGATGGTCGACAACGAAGTCCTAGTTCGTCTTTCCAGTCTCTCATGGGAAATCTCTTCACAGGGAGTGGCCCAGATTCCCTTGCGGACGACACCTCGCGGATGTCGCTCACCGCCTCATATCTATATTTTGACGATGAGGGGTACACGCGATGGCAAGGTGAAACGTCCGGTTTGCCCCTGTTGGATCTTTTGGTCGAGCGACACAATCCTTCCGAGACGAGCGAAAGCACGCCATCAAACGAGACTACATCGGCGGCCACGAAAATTGCCAATTCTCAGGAGCCGCAATGGTTTCCCAACCGAACACCCCGGAGAACACATATTAATCCCCAGACGCTCTGGTCGATGATAACAACATATATCGAGCCGGAGCTTATGGACAGGTAAATAGGTCGATCACCGGGAGGGATGATAGCTGACAGTCATTTTATGCGCAGTCTCGTGCAATGCTATCTCTCAACGTCTTATTACATCCTCCCCTTCATACACGTCCCGACTTTCCTCGCAGACTACGGTAACCCAGAAAAATGGGGTGAACCTGGATTCGCTGCCTTCATTGTCTCCATTTGTTGTCTGGCGTCCCGGCATATGGATGACCCTCGTGTTCGTGCCGATCCAAATGACAGCATCTCTGCTGGCACGCATTGGTTCGAGCTTCTCGGACGACTACGCACTCTCCCTACGGCGGACCGACCGACCCTATACACCATACATGCCAACCTTATCGCTGCCGTATACGCCATCGGTCTTGGCCGACTCTCAAAAGGCGCTGCCCTCCTCTCAGAAGCCATAACCGTGTCCGTCGATGCTGGTCTCCACCGTTCAGCCGACACATACGATCTCTTCGACCCAATTGAGGACGAGGTGCGGAAACGCACGTTCTGGTGTGTGTATATCTGGGATAAGCAGCTGAGTGCGCATTTTGGGCGACCGCCGATGATCCGATTGAGGGACTGCGATGTGGGAGAGCCGGCGCCCGTTGATGATGAGTATATCACGCATGAGGGCGTCGGTGTGCCACCTCCAGGTACCGAATGCCGTATGAGCGCTTTCATATTCTCACTGCGGATTTTCGTGGTGGCTGAGTCGGTATTGGATGTGCCGCCGGCGCGGCAGTCCTCGTCACCTTTTATGGCTAAGGCAGCGGCGCTCCTGACTGGGTCCTCCGGGTGTAAACTACTCAAGGACGAGGAGATACTGCTGGACGAGATCCATCGGAGTATACCTCCCATTTGGTCGCAGTCTGCGGAGACTCTGGGTACGGAAGATACGATTCGACTGACGCAGGCGGAGCGGTTACATTGCGCGGAACACTTTGTACGGCTCTTGATCCATCGACATCGGTTTTCGCAGATGGTCGCTGAGCGGCATGCAGCGGGCGGAGACGATGAGCAACAGACTGAAGCTGAGAAGGAGGCTATGGTCGCAGCGCATAATTCGGCATTGCAAATCGCCGCTGCGCATTTGCATATTGCGAGGAAGGGATTGATGACCTACTGTGAGGTTTTCCAGCGCCTATCTTATGATAGACTTTTCCTGATGCGATGATTTTTTTTAGATGGCGTTCACGTTATCCACCAACTCACCCAAGCTGGACGGACACTCGTCGCCGTTCTACTCAACTGCAAGACTGATACGTTGCAACACCTGATACCCTCTGGTCTCGACGCGCTGCGCTCTTGTATTGGTCTTCTGAGAAGATTCAGCGGTCGTTACATCTGCGGACTCCGTTCGGGGGATCTCATGGAAGAATTCTGCCGATGTGAGTTTTTTTTCGTAGCGCCCTCCATTCACACTTCTAACTCTAACTCAATAGTAACTCAAATTCCGTTGGAGCCCACCCCACAACAGGATAATCCTCAAAATGACAGACGTCCGCCCTGGATCCGACCCGTACGCAAGAAGGCGCCGTCTATTGCTCGCTCAAATTGCAGTGGGGAGTCCCCCAGTCCCGAAGCGTTTTCGCCGTCTGACTTCCTGGACGCCCAAAAAGGTGCGGGGCCGTCGTCCTTTCCTCCGGCACCACAGTCTGCAGGGACGCCCGTGACAAAATTCGAGCAACCGTCGTTCACCGACGGCCCCGGGAACATGAACATGGACATCCTGAGCAACGAGCAACTGTACATGTCGCCATCGGATGTCATGTCGCTGTTCAACGACGGCACGGTCGACCTCGGCCAAATCTTCAATCCAGAATTTATCCAGCCGCCCAGGTCTTCGGATGGGAATAATATTGGCGGAGGAGGAGGAGGAGGAGGAGGAGGAGAGCCGTACCTGAAAATGACCGGTATCGTTACTTCCCCATAGCGACACTGAATGCGTGGCGCATTTTCTCATTTTACTTACGTGGAAGGGACGAATCAACGCACGCTGCAGATCGTAATTACCAAAGGCCATATATATGTACTATGTAGCTTTGAGGATATGTGTATAATATTTTTTTTATGTTTGACGGATGCCGATTGATACGAGCCTCGTTGCTCTCAGGTCCAAAGCACCATATGAATGCGCAGGATGCGCTGCTCGTGCGACTTGCCAAATTAGGACAGTTCTTTCAACTTTATTCGCACCGGAGGCTGTATCCGCGTCACGCTTTTTAGATCTGAGATCTGTCACGAACCCATTTCGACTTCCCTTTGTTCAGTCATGTTATGGAAGGTAGAGTGAAACTTATTACAAAAGTCCTCAAGGGAAAAAAGGCCACCGATACCCCGTTTCTTCATTCTATTCCACGTTCTCCCTTCCTCTTCTAGCCTTTCGTTTTTTTGCTTTCCCTTCAATTCATTCAGCTTTTGGCTTCTAGCCTTGCCACCAATATCGCACGCTTGCGACAGAAACAATAAGGCAAGCGCACAAGGTATGTTCCGATTGATGTTTGATTGCGGTTTTTCCTGATTATGGTCTACTCCTTTTTGTTCTAGCGGATCCAATGAAACAAAGGAACGAATTTATTGGATACAGGTATATTTAAGAGGCCGGTGTTTACCGACGTGATTGTCTTCCCCCTCCCCTCCCCTCCCCTCCCCCCCGCCAGGTAATGGCAATGTTTTGGTCAGAGTACGATTCGAGAGCTCGTCCCCCCATGGACACTCTTCCCGTGGAGCTTCTCGCGTACATATTCTCCTTGGCGACCCATGGCATTACACTGGCGACGGAAGGGAAAGAAAGCCCCTTATTCGACTCGGAGAGCGTCAAGACGCCTACGCGTCTGTCTGCTGTTAGCAAACATTGGCGTATGGTCGCTCGTACTACCCCAGCGCTGTGGACGAGTTTGTGCGCTACTATTGCTTCCATCCATGAAAAGCATCACAACGGACAGAGGCTATCCATCTTTAGCCCCTCCCATTTTTCCTCCCACCTCTCGTTATCTCGTAACCAACCTCTGGACATTCTTATTGACGCTAGAGACCCCGACTGGGATTTCTCAGAGCCGAGGTATGTTCCTATCTTTCATGTTTTCTTCCATTGGTTGACTGGCGATCGTCATCAGTGTCGAACCCGAGTGTCATTATACTCCACCCTTCTCTTATCAACACATGATGACTGTCATGGCCATGCTACACCCGCACATCCACCGTTGGCGGTCCTTTTCCATACTCACGGATACTTGGTTTCCCATGCATGTCGCCCTTCTCTACTTAAACAATGCCCCCGCGCCTCTGCTCGAGAGCCTCACCATAATGCGATGTAACGACTATATTAGCCATGCTTCCGAATTCCAGCCGACCGCTCTTAACACGCCCTTCGCCCTCGATCCCCGCACCAACTGCCTTCGCACTCTCACCCTCCGAGGCGTCTACGCAGAGTGGCCGTCCCTTAATGTGCTTCACGATCTGGAGGTTCTCGAGATCACTTCGCTTTCATCTAATGTACGTCCTTCGAAGGCGGACATGTATGGGATCCTCTCCGCGTGTGCTCCTCGGCTGAGGAAGCTACGTTTAATGAATGATGCGGGGCCTGAGAGCCGCGATGACGACGACGACGACGACGACGACGACGCAGTTCGTCCAGTCACGCTTCCAAAGCTGGAAGACGTTTCTATCGGCTACCGTGCCGACACGGCATGCCATGGACTGGCAAAGCTGTTGATAGCACCCAATGTGCGGCAGGTGCTGCTGGAGAGCGATAGGTATCCAGGAGACGCGCTTGTCGCTGACCCGGGCGATGTCCTCGCTGGTCTTACCTTCCCTCTGATGGAGAGGGCAACGCTGAAGGGCATTTCCGCTTCTCGAGAATCCATGCACCGGTTCCTCATGAATGTCCAACATTTGGAGATAGAGTGGACGGCGGTAGAATGCCTTCTCCCTTTGCCAGATGGTTCGCGTTCTTGTCCGAAGCTCGAGACGCTATGTTTGCGCAGTTCGGATATAGAGGGAATTGATAGGACGGGGATGGATGTGATATTGGGAGTCCTTCGACGGCGGGGGACGAGTGCGCTGAAGGAGGTCGATGTGCATGTTGGGAGCGCTAATGCGAACACTTGCGTCGACTATCCTGCGCAGATGGAGGTGGGTATGCCGCAGGTGAGGATATTTAGGGATGACGAGGACGACGACTTCTCAGATACAGAGTCCGAGGGCACCGACTCGTCTGAGGAAGACGCATATGGGTTAGGAGGTACCTTTAATGATCCGGTCTTTGATGCGCTGTTTAAGAGCCAGTCCGGATTTGGTGTGTGGTGATGACGACGCGATAGTCCATGCAATTTCGATCTTCTTGGTGTGGACTTTCTTTCGAGTTTTTTTTGTATTTCGTTTTGTATGCTGTAGCAGACTTAATTGACGATTCATGCTTGTTAAAGTAAAAGGCATGCCTCCTCTGACAACTGGTCTATACCGGGGTTTTTCGATTGATAATTTTTGGTTTACCATAGGCCAGAGCTTCACGTATATAGCGGCTACTAGCAAGCGAACTAATGGAGGGCTGTAAGCCGATAAGGAGAGGATAACTAACAGATACAACGGCCGGGGTGACTAGATGTTACCTGCGGCCATTCCTTATTTGTGATAGCGAGCGGCGGTAACCACGGTAATTGTCTGTAGTGTTAGAGAGCGCAGCACTGGCGAAGGATCTGAGACCATGAATAAAGCGACAGGTATGACATGGATCAGAGTAACGAGCGCCGGTGGTTACACGAACAGAGACGGTGGCCTCAGTTATTTAACCTCAGTCGGACGCTGGAAAGATCGCGAGTGCTGGTGGCGGGACAATTCAAGGTGAGAAGTCTATTGGACTTGGATGAGACTGGACGGGAGCAAGTTTTCGGGCATTGTGATACGCGGTGTCGTTGGACGTAGGACTAGAGACAAGGAGACGGTCCACGGACGGATGTAGAGATACTTGCGACATACAGGTACAGGGAATTGACGGTCAAGCGGTAAACGAGGGTGCTATGCGTGCAAGGAGAAACAATAGTCGGAAGACGGCTATCGAGACAGACAAGTACAATTGCAACCGTCCGTCCATAATATAGATGTTAAAGGACTCTGGCGGGCAAAAAAAAAAAAACAGAAAAGAGGACGTATGAGTATTTCAAAGACAAGAAATTTCAAGATTTCGCCAGCCCCAGAGAGTACAGCCAAGCTTGTCACTGATATGAAAGGAAACAGTTCAGATGTTCATCAATGTTCAATGTCTTTGCGACACTCGAGTCAGCATCTTGTCAAGTCTCTGCAGTTAGCGATAATGATAAGCAAGGGAAAGAAAGTAAGAAGAGCTCCCCTGGTCGACCACAAGCTCTACTAAGCATCGGACTCATTAGTGTCAAGCAGGTACACCCAAAGCACAAGAAACCAAGGAGTGACGCTTTCCCAGACGGTACTAGCCAGCTGGTCCTGTTCATAAAAGTAAAATAAAATTCATCCCGGTAAACATAACACTGTACTGTTGATTTGAAGTCATCGGGTAACCCTGGTTAAATACGGGCAGGTCTGTTCGGATTTCCCACGCTTGGCTATTTTCCTCGTCGCACCAGTCTTGCTCTAGGTTTTCCTGAGTGTCTTTCGAGACCTAAACTGCAACACGGAAACCAAACCAAACCCTAAAGGCTGAACCTCAAGTTACGCATATTTAGCCCTTCCTCTACTGATTCCATGTTTTTCCAAAGATTTACCGGACCGTCGTTTTCTAATTGATAAGGACTATCGCTTCCTGTATTGTTATATTCTTTCGATAGCTCTAACGCATGGTATCGATGTCGTGATCCTCTGGCCTGTGGTGGTGACAACGGCCCGCTCGGATCGTTCGGCTTCTGTAACTTTCAGTGCACGAGTTAAGACTAACTTTATACTTAACCATCGTCGTGATGCACGCCTTCAACGCCTTTGGTACCTTGGCTTTAATTGCATGCGCTTCTTGCAGTCGTATGTTCTTCATATAAACACCATTAGACGTGCTCATGGAGAAGCAGTGGTCCCAAAGAAGTTCCTGACGCTCTCTATGGGTGAGATTAGGCCTACGGGGTGGCTTTATGACCAGGTACACTTGTCTGCCCCATTTTTTCGTTGATAACGAGATTTTTTCAAGCTCGTTGTCCAAACAAATGGCGTTGCTGGGCATATGCATGAATTCTACGATCTGTGAGTCTTGACTACTCCGAAGCTGTTAGATTGACCCTCGAACTTGGGCCTTTAGAGTCTCAAAAACCGACTGGGTCGGAGGCGATTCTTATTACTCATACTTGGAGGAGGGCACGCCTTTTAATTTATACAACTTTTGCACTTACCGATAATTCCATAGCGGGCAGTTATTGGTTCGTAAGTCGAACTACAAGTGTCCATCTAAATACCCCGGCAAATCTTCCGAGATAGAATGCAATGGTTCCAAATGGCATCCTTGTCAACCATACCATTATCATGAATAAGACTCAAGAGTTCCTCGATTATGTCCTGGACCATCAGGACGAGACTGGATGGCTAGGCCCCGAGGTAGGAACGAACAAGCCACGTTTCTTGTGGGGAAGGTCTCTTCTGTTGGCCTCAGAAGCGATGATTTCTCACTGAGAACATCTCGTATTAGGTATCCATTCTTTTTCGGCGCGATCCAAATGGTCGAGTACAACCCTGCACTGACTGGACGCGTCGTAAGTGCACTGCACAAGTTTGTTGTGGTCGCGAACAAGATGCTTCAGGAAGGAAAAGGTGTGGACAAATGGGCACAGACGCGCTGGGAAGATTTTGTCATTGTATTGCAGTGGTAGGTTGTTGCTCTTTCCCTTTATGTTGCGGATCTATCAAGTACGTTCTCAGGCTGCATGACTACCATCCACATGGACAGGAGGATCTTCTCGTGGACACAATGGTGAGACTCAAATGGAGCGGTGTTCCATGGGAGAAGGTGTTTTCTGAAGAGGTGAATGCCTTTCGCTTGTATACTCCAACAGGTCTTTGATTTTTTCTAGTACTTCCCTACGGTGGCGGGTGAGAATTGCTTTTGACCTATGATTGCTTGAGCTACACGCGACCATCTAGTGGAGACGCTTGAAAACCCGTTTGGCCTTGAACTTTCGGTAACTTTACCTTCCTTTTTTGTGTAATCCCGTTTTTAATTTGTGTCATTTGTCCGTAGTGGCATGGTGTGAACATAGCAGAAGGCATGAAGGCTCTGCCCTCTACGTATCGGTTCACGCACAATGCGTCGGATCTACAAGCAGCAAGCGACGGGTGGGATTTGATGTTCCGCTATCACGGAAGACCGTCTGGTGCATATGCTGCAGACGAAATGCTTGCGGGATTGGAAGCAGTTCGGGGGTAGGTTCGCTGGTCCTCGTTTCTCTTGTTGGTGCTGACCCTATAACTTAGGACTGAGCTATGCTTAGTCGTGGTGAGTGTTCCTACATTTTAGCGACATTTTTTGAATCTAAAGAGAGCGTAGGAACTAATGTTCTCGTATGTCTCTATCACCATCGTCATCGCTTTCAAATAAATACATCTCTTTGCAGGGGTGCCTACCTCTATCAAGTCTCAGGAGACCCAAAGTATGCAGATCGGGTATGTTTTACTCGCATATTTAACCCTGTAAATGACCGTCATGTAGGTCGAAAGGGTGGCTTATAACGCGCTGCCTGCAACGATAACTGCAAGTAAGGCCCTATCTCTAGCGTTATTACAGTGGCTAATATGTAAACGAGATATGTGGGGGAGACAATATCTAGCGCAATCAAATCAGATAGCCGCGAAGAATATGACACCGTGCGTGGTGCATTTGATAAGACCGCTCACCGGCTGATATTTTGCAGGAATCCATTCCCAGAAGATGGGTGAGCATCAATTTCAAGCATGTTTCTGTCTCTTGAGACTCTAACCTTCCAAGGCCTGAATCAAACATCTTCGGTCTAGAGCCCAATTATCCGTAAGAAAAGTTTCTTAGTTAACATCAACGCTTGATTCCGTTTCCGTTAGATGCTGTACCGTCAATTTCCCTCAGGGCTGGCCAAAGTACATCACCAATGCATTTTTGGCAACTGGAGATGGCGAGTCCCTAGTTCATCTCTTCCTTGGTCCTTTCAGCACGTCCACTGTCCTGGCAAAGGGTATATTCTTCCAGTTATGAACATCTCAAACGTTTGGTCTTACGTCCCTGCAGATAATGCAGTATCTGTTGAGGTGGACACCCAATATCCGTTCAGTGATACACTCAGAACGACTATTACGGCGACGAAAACCTTTACTTACTTCGTTCGTATCCCGAATTGGGTTACTGGCGGAACGATTTCGGTTGGCGGTGGCGCTGCCCAAGCTTTGACACCCAATGAAAATGGATTGCAGCCCGTCGATATTGGTCCAGGGACCACTGAATTCGTGCTAGAACTTCCTGCAGATGTTACCACCGGTATATATGCCTTGACTTGGTCACTGTAGAAGTTATTCCTTATTCGATGTCCCAGAGGTCAGACCCCACGGATCCGTAGCGGTTCACAGAGGACCTCTGAATTATGCCTTTGATAGTACGTTGACCGCCTCGTTCTACAGTCGCTTCGCTGACGCAGTTCTCTTGTTTCCTTTCAGTCAGACGTTCAGAGACAGTTCTCAAGACCGATCCACGTCAAAGCCTTGCTGTGGATCTCCAATATGACGCTATGGAGGACTGGGAATTTGCCATCGATCCTTCGACGTTGAAGTTCCATCAGCGTCGCGTCTCTAATTTGCCTTCGCCAGTTTGGGATTACGGGCTGTCTCCAGTAACGATCACTGCAACGGCTTGTCTCATCGATTGGCCTGTAGATGGCGATATGTTTGCTGCCAGTCCGCCGGAAAATCCGGACTGTGTTGGACCTGAGAGGGTAATTGAGCTCTCTCCGTTTGGGGTTGGGAATTTAGTTTTGCTCGTGCCTTGTTGTACTAACTGGTCTGCTTTTAGGTGACAAAGCTGCGTATTAGTGAATTTCCGGTCTTTGAGTCAAAGGATGGGGATGATATGTATTTGGAGCAGATTCCTATGCGCGGTAGGAGACTATGATGTCAAGCATAATGAAAACAGAATCATAGACACATATATCACTCTCCTGCTGTGGCGTGGGATTGTTAACCTTCTTCGGTAACCTCACCACGAACAATTCTGAAGTTGTTGCGTTGTTCTGAGCAGGGTTTCTCAGGAGAACAACTGAACACGTCTGCGTAGTGGTAAGTATATCTTGACTATAATTTGTTGTTGCGCTTTCTAATGGATTTTTCGCAAGATTGACCGTGACTTTGATATGGTACAATTCAAGTAATTTTCTCAGGTAGAAAGCAGTGTGCTTATGATGTGATTGATTCAGATGAACGAAAAATGCTCTCGGTGTGGATTTCCTGAAGATCATAGCCCGTTCTTGGCCAGCAGCGATACGAGTTCGAATCAAACTTGTGTCAGTGTCACTGACCTATTGCGATCGGGAAGGTCGTCGCTGACTGTTGACCTATCACCATTACATGAAAGGTCTCAGCGCTTAGAGAATCGGCTCTCTACTCTTAACTCCAAATTGTTCGAACTCGAGGCTGTGGTAGATCGTCTCCGTGCCGAACAACACCAAATCCAATCCGACCTCGACGCGCAACAATCTCTCATGGCACCTGTTCGTCGCATTCCAGCAGAGATCCTTCTATATATCTTCGAATTGGTATCCATGGATGAACACTGCACCCTCAACACCACAAACGCTCCTTGGGTGTTTGGGCATGTGTGTTGCTTCTGGAGGACTATCGCTACCACGTCTCCTGTGCTATGGTCTACAATCCGGACACATCTTAATCTTCAAGTTTACCCGCGGAAAGTCCCTGCAGCCCTTCGAAGGCATCTCGAGCTTTCATCTAACTTTCCTCTTCACCTGGATATCGACTTATATCGCAATGCTGACAGCCACACAATCCGTCAAATTGTCACTTCGATTGTTCGCCACTCGCTCCGATGGGAGACCCTGAAAATCACATTGTCGGCGAATAGTCTGCCAATGTTCTCCGGAGTGAGGGACCATTTACCTCAACTTCGCTCCTTGGCAGTGTTTGTTATGAATTACTACGGAGATGGAGCGGTTGTACCCGAGCCCTATCCATTCTTTTCTGTCGCACCCGCTCTCGCAGAAGCAAAGATCCATTGCATCCCAGTATTTGATCTTCCAGTACCACTTTCCCAACTACGTGTCTTCGACGGCTACTTTCGCAATCATAGCGAGGTGCACGACCTCCTCAGACAAGCGCCCAGACTTGTCAAATTTGCTTTTTCAAGTATGATCAGCTCGCGGGACGCCAATCCATCGCCCATATTCCACGACTGTCTACGCAGCATAACGAGTACATCTCATGAGCTGAGGATTTTGTCTGCTGGGACATTTCCGGCGCTCGAGGAAATCGACGGGAAAGAGAGTAAATGGGATGATGAGGCCATAGACATGATGGACCATATTGCAGAGCGGTCGCGTTGCTCCATACGCGCCTTTCATGCTGGATCCATTCTGTCCTTCACTCGCTTTGCTACTCTCCCATCGATCAGATCCTCCTTGACGATCCTCAGCATGACGATGGGAGGCTGGAACGCCGCTTCGAACGGCCCCATGCCTTATCTCGGCATTTATGCCGCTCTTTTGATATCGGAAACGCAGCCATCTCTCTTACCTTTCCTACGCGAACTCATTTTAAAGGAATTCAGCGGCTACAATAGCAAAAAGTTAGCACCATTCACATGTCCAGAGTTTTATGAAATGGTCCAATCTAGGCGGTCCCCTCCGCCTCCTGCTCCCGTTTCACGCCTAGAGGTATTGACTTTGGTGCTTCGGCGTATGGAATATCATGACTTCAAGTTTAAGGACCCGCGGTTCGACCGTTTATGGGCGATGGAAGAGGAAGGGTTAGTGGTACATATCGTGCCACCTTGGGGGGACTTGGCAGAAGGGTAAGAAGGTTCAGTATCATGCTTTCCGTACCCAGGTTATGCTTCCCTGTGGCTGGCTGGCTGGCTGGGATTTCCTGTCCCTGTATGGAAGTGTCTGGCTGCCCGTGCTGTTTAGGTTGTTTTACATGTCGTTGGCGGTACCGGAAGTGCCGAATTCCGGTGCGTCATTCGAAACCGCTGGGCCAGACATGACAAGCCGGATCGTCATCAACCGATGTTCCCTGTGTTCGTCGGCCAAATTTTCCGTCCCCGAATTAGCTTCGTTTTGATAGCCGGAGGGCAGCAACATCATAGCTCGGATATTCCGGTTCGGCTTTCTATAGGGCTTCAATGTTCATCCAGAATACGATCGGATCGAAATGTTACCACAGGTCCGACGTCGATTCTCCCAGTGCCGCAGGATCCTATCGAAGAAGGAGAGCTCTCTGGATGGGTTTCATCCTCGATAAATGTTGGTCTGTCGCTTTGGCATCTGTACCTAGCTCTTACGTGCCCTTCCGATATCGTCGTTGTTCAAGTCGATACCCCGTGGCCTCTTAAAGTACAAGATTACGAGCATGTACGTTTGACTTCCCCTCTGATATGCCTCTTTTCTGATGTATTATCTTCTTAGGGAGGGTTTCCTTCGGGTATGGTGTGCAGCTATACCATTCAGAAATATCTCAAAGGTACACCTACCTTGGGCGGTAATGAAATGTCTACAAGGGCACTACATGCGAAAGCATCCCTCCTGTGGGAACGTGCAACTGACTTGATTAGGAATTAGAAACCTGGTTCGTGGGACCGATCTCTTTCTTCAGCCTTGTTCATTAATACTAACACTAACGTAGACATGGCCCAATAAGAGTCGATTGACTTTTACGCGTCGTTGGCGGCCTACTTGAGAAACTATGAAGTGACCTTCCGTCACCGAATGCGGTGACCAATCCGACGTCTGTCGAAAGGAGGATTCTCTTTGTTATTCATAATTTAACCTACGCCGCTATCATGCAATTGTATGGTCTTTTCGCCTGGGTTGATATGCAGTCTCAGGGTAAGGTTCTTATGGCCGCTCAAACTGTATTTTGGATGTCCGGTACCATGTCGCATGGTTCGCCCATCAAGCCGATTGTTGGGGTAAATCCGACTTCTTGTTATGCCACTTACTCTCCTTTATCAGACGGTCTGGGTATCTGCGGGTCAATTCCTGCTTGAGGAACTGGTTTCGTTGAGGGCATCTCGCTTGGCACTTGGCGGCCCTGCCAGTGACGGGGAAACGGAGCTTTTAGATGTCTTCAGTGCTGGATTTCAGGACATGATTCTCTTGGCGGAAAGCTGCCATTCTCTTAAGTGAGTCAGAATTAGGATGGAATGGATTCCGTGCGAGTCTATAAATGCATATGATATAGAGTATCTGGTGAAGCAGATACAGGAGGCATTCGCTGCGCTGTAATTGCTGGTTTCTGAGTAGTTATAGTAACTCTATTAATGGATGTTACGATGTCGTGAGTGTATTAATATCAGGTATATCCTTTAATAAATTACTGTTTTATAATCATCAATACATGTAGCGGTACAAAGAGTGTATTGTTGTAGTGTCACTAGTCTGTATACAAAATTAATAAACAATAGTTTTGAGACACTACAGATAAAACAAATTGCGAAACATATTTGGAAGGTAAAGGTGGCCAAGGCGCCATTTTCTCAACGAAATAACAGATAAGGCAGTGCGGCGGAACAGAATGCCAAAAATCAGAGACGTCTCACGGCCCGCTCGGGCTCCCCTGGGATCACAGTAGTCACAATGACATTGTGACACGTTGCTCTTGTCCCCTCTCTTATTCAACAACAACGATGTCGATGTCGAGAGGCCGGGTTGAAGACACGTATGAAGCACAAAATGACCAGCGCCTAGATGAACTTCATTCCAAGATACGTACGTTGCGTGGCGTCAGTCAAGATTTTGTATGTTGCATTTCGCGATACTGACACGCCGGTTTTTGTAGATTACTACCGACATTAACGACGACGTTGAACGACAGAATTTAATGCTTGATGATACGGTACGAAATTTTTGACTTTTTTTAGGTTACGGAGTCTCATTTGTCACTACGCGTAGGGGAACTCATTCTCCTCGTTCGGCGCTACGTTGGCACAGACGTCTCGACGGACCGGGCAAGCATTCGGTATAGGCCAGGGCGGGTTGAAGTCATGGCGAGCAGCCATGTACGTCGTCCTAGGATTCATTGGGCTGTGGCTGTCTCTGAAAATCTTTTGGTGGTGGCGGTCTGGGTGAATCTGGTTTTTTTTTGCTTATTGGGTTACGTGTGTGCACCGCTTCATTTTCATTTACCTGTTCTTACAGCGATGATCCTGACAGATATCACCTGTATTTATTTACTTCAATGGGTTTTTCGTCATTCTTGACCCCGCCGCCGGCCTAATACCGGCTCAGGAGATATTTCGCTGACATCTTACACTCTTTCACCCAAGATCTCTGGAAAAATCGCGCACCATTCAAGCACATGTCATCTCGATCCGTTTTCGCGGTTTTTTCCTCTGCGCGAAATTGCGGGATCTCGTCTCATGAATTCGGTATTCAAAATCTCAGTGTTAGCTTCTATTCTGATGTACGTATATCGTTCAAAAACCAGTTGTCATATTCTAATTAAATACTCTTCAGTAGTCAATGAAGCATTCGGAGAAGACTAACAGAAAGAAATTTGTGCATCTGTTTTATGATACAATGGAAGCGTTTAACCGACGCTGACACTGGTTATTGAATGCTTGGGTGATATAGCCATCGGATCACTGGTATGTTGGTCGGTTTTCTCTTGCACTGATCGGAATTTTCGGCCGTAGGTACGAGCTACAATCCGATATACGTACCTTGTGTCCTATCGAGTTGGTACTGGTTAGGAGGTCAAGACCGCCGTCTCTTTGATAACATTTTCATAACCCCTGTCTGTTCGAATCAATGATGGACATCCTGTGAACCGATCTCAGCACGCAAGGCGATCAGCCGGCTCCGTTTGGTTCATGGAAAGAGGACAGTCTTTTAGTATCCTGATTCCCTTTTTCGACAAGCGAAGGCATTTTCTAATGTCTTTGTCCATTTCCGAGAAATCAAGTTGCGACTCCATTTATATTCATCATCATCCTTCAACCTGAAAACGTGGTGATTTCCGTGGCCGCGTTCCATTTTATGTAACTTTCCTTTCACACATTTCCCGATCTCAGCAGTCAAGTCTAGGCTCCGACGGTCGCTGAAAAATGACAGCATAATCTCAGACAACAATGTTTGATATGGTAAGTGCGTTCATGTTGTGCAGGGCTGAACTGGAGAAACACCGTGCCGCAGAAAAGCAATCCAGGTCCTGCTATTGGCTGCAAGTACTATTGATCGCGATAGTCATTAGTGTGTCTTCGTCTCAGACATTCCCAAAGTGGTAGTATTTGCTCCCTTCATTTTCGGGGTCAAACTTGGACCCCTCTATCGCTATCTCCTCATCGTAAACGCGGACATTTGCTGTTTCTATTTTTGCTCGGATGCCCCACATCGCAACAGGACGTGGAGGCTGTGATCCCCGCACTGGCACAACTGATACCGGCGCAGACTGGGCCCTGGGAGGCCCTGGGTCGGCAGCACGTTGGGCACGTATCCTATTTATCTCTTCGACTTCGAGACCCGTTGACAATTTATTTCATAGATTTTTCGGCTTTGTAGACCCCTTCGAGTGCTAATGGTGACTAAGACTATGCCTGGGTATTGTCTCATCACGCCTCATCTCCCACTCGAGTGCACAAATTCAGGTCTCCGCAGACTTTAGGTTCGACCGTTTACCCGCTTCAGATGATTAAGCAAGGAGTCTCCTCCCCAGACTGACACCCAGTGCCTCACTGGGCATTAAACTTGGCCCATGCTTCAAGTATCTCCCTGCCGCCTCTTCGAACCGGGTCGGTGCACACTGTAGCCGTGAGTTCATGCCCAAATTAGAGTAAGATGCGGGGTCAAAAACAGCTGATCTGTCGCAGGGCAAGGAAGGAATCATATACCCGTTTGGCATCAGAAGCGCTCAGCTGCTTTTGCCGCCTTTGCCGCAAGTTCGCAGGATGGACGGGTCACATGTGAACCACCGGCTGAATTCAAAGGATGACCTCAGAGGTCAGTGGGTTCCCTACTTCTTATCCCTACATTCATCACAATTGTGAGCCAACAATATCTCTGTCTCATATATGGCGGCGCTTATGCATTTCCAGGTGAATTTGCGTGGCTACGGTTCCTTGAAGGCGCATTGTACCCTTCTCAACTTCGTGGGTCTTCCAACCAGTTTCACACGCGGACTTCGCATGGATAACTCATTCTCGTGCAGTTCTGTAATCGATACACCAATTCACCCGTGAAGTGCTTCATCTTCAACTATGTCGTCGCCACCGGTGTCGTCTGTGTCCGTACCTGCTAAGAAGGTGCCTTATCCATTTTGGCTTGGTGGTACGTCAATGATCGTGGCCGTGCGCCAATGCTGACACGCGGATAGGTCTTGCTGCTACCATCGCAGCTTCTATTACACAGTTCGTGACATTCGTCTCCCACGCTGCCCAGATCCGTTATCCTTAATGGCATACTACTTTTAGTCCTCTAGATCTAACGAAAGTCCGACTACAAGCATCGGGGGACAAGCGTATGATAGAGAGCATGAAGAAGACTGTACGCACAGCTGGTCCGTTTCAACTCGTGGCTCTCCCGTAACATTTCATAACATCTTGGTCAGGCGCTCGAGGTCTCTTCGATGGTATTTCTGGGACGTGGTTACGTCAGATGTCCTATTCGATGTGCCGATTCTGGGCATACGGCGAGAGCAAGAAGATAATTGGTGCGGGGAAGGATGCACCGGCGTACAAGTTGGCGCTCGCCGGCTCAATGGGTGTGGACATTAAATTATTCGTTGACAGTCGCAGACCCCTTACGTCGTTCGTAGCTGGCGGTATTGCTGGTTTCGTTGGGAATCCTGGAGGTACGCGTTACGCGTCATGTCCCGAGGTGCACGTGTCCTTATCATGTTTTTAGAGATCGTCATGGTGCGTCTCCAGGGAGATTTCGCGAAACCACCGGAGAAGAGATTCAACTACAAGAACTGCATCGATGCACTGTTTAGAGTAAAACTGCTCGTAATCTCTCGTCCATGAGGAACTTATCGGATTCTGTTAGATGGTCCGTGAAGAGGGTGTTTCCTCTCTTGGTCGTGGAGTGGGACCCAACGTGTTCCGTTCCGTTCTGATGAACGCCAGTCAGCTCGCTTCGTACGGGTATATTTTGCTCTTGCCATACAGTCTTTAAACATGTCATCAGATATGATTTCTTCAAGGCCGAGCTCTTGAAGACACCGTATTTCCACGACAACATCCTTTGCCATTTCACGGCGAGCTTTGCTGCTGTTCGTAGGCCCTTACCTTGTGCGTTCCGTGTGCTAAGCCTGTGTAGGGTACCGTTGCGACGACGGTCTGCTCTCCCGCTGATGTATTAAAGGTTTGTACTCTTTTCGATTCACGCAACGGGGCCTGACAGGACACGTCGTTAGAGTCGCATCATGAATGCATCAGGACCAGGATCGAATGTGAGCTTTTCGATCTTCTTGTTCTGGCTGATCTGATTCTCTGTGTTTAGTCTACTCTTGGTGTCATCAAGGCTTCCTTGAAGAACGAGGGTCCAATGTTCATGTTTAAGGGCTGGTTGCCAGCTTGGACTCGTCTGCAACCGACGACGATCCTCATATTCTTAATATTGGAACAGTTGAAGAATGGGGTTGATTTCTCGAGAAGCAAGGGGTATACGTTCTTGTGAGGTTCGATAGATGTGAAGTATGCTACTAATATTAGCGATGTATACCAGAGTGGACATGAAACTTGTGAATTTTGATCAATCAAAAGTCAAACTGTTAGATGTCTGGAGCGCACTTTATTAAATTAGGAAATAAAAGTCTCGGTCACGGTATTTATAGAGGGACCTCAAAGCCCCTGTCCTGAACTTTGTCTATGACCACCATGACCACCTCACAATCTACCCTACAACCTACAGTTTGGACACCTAGATTACCGCCAGAACTCACGGATCAAATAATTGACGCTCTTTCCGATGACGTTTCCTCTCTCACAGCTTGTACATTATCTTCTCGCCAACTCCGCTGCCGCAGCCGTTATCACCTATTCTGCGCCATACGTTTCGATTTCATCCTACATCGATCGTTCAATCGCTGCGAAAATTTCTCGGAGAAGTGCCAAAATGTGGCGCCACTTGTAAGGAGTCTTACCTTGAGCGAAAATGCCGTCTGGTTCGTAGGCCCCTCTCGTAAATGGATCACCTCCGAACCGCAGCTGCCTATCGCCTTTAGAATGATGAAGAACTTGACGTCCTTGCATCTTGTCAAGGTGGAACTAGTCGGCATTAATATCATCTGGCCTGAAGTCGAGGAATTGGAAATGAAGCAATGTTCTGTGACGAATCTTGGCACCTTTCTTGGCGGGTTCCACAAACTAAACAAGCTAGCGCTATGCGACGTGGGCATTGTTGAAGCGACATCCTTATCGTCTGAAGTTTCTCTTGACCTTGAAGAATTAGTGATTACCCATGGCGCCAGCCAATCGGACGCGCGTACTATCAAGTGCCTCCTCCCGCTCCTCCCCACGCCACCCCGTATTCGACGGCTTACCTACCCACTTTACTATCCAGAGTGGGACATCCCACAATACGACGTGATTCCTTATACGCGCCTGGATGAGTTATTTCTGATGGGAGCCTCCGAGCCAAAGATACTTGTTCCGAATATCCGAAACGTTACTAAGCTTCGGTTGCTTGTGACCCCTCCCGGGCATTGGGATCAGGCGGAGGCACACAGAGCCTGTGACGAGCTAACAGATTGGCTTATAGACCTGCTATGCAAAGCCCAACGTGGGTACTTAGAAGAGATCCAATTGGAGTACTGCCTGATGGGCATATCTGGGACTCAGGGCAAGTGGGCAGAGCTCGATGCAGTTCTATCGAAGATGGAATTGAACAAGGTTGAGCTCGTGTTCAGCGCAACCCTGCACGAGTGGCGGAGAGAAGAAGAAGAGAAATCCAAGTGGCCGTTGTGGGAAGGCAAGCTGGAGGGATTGGTGATCAAATATGCTGCGTTCTTTGAACAAGTTGAAAGGCGTGGGTTGTTGACAGTCTCCAGAGGGTACCGGAGTTAAGTTCGTATGTTTGCTACTATCCAGACACCGCTATTTCGTTTTGTACGCCATTCTTTCGTTTTGTACACCACTCTTTCGTTTTGTACACCACTAGTTCGTTTTTGACATTGAATCGGTATGAAGGATACAAATAATACAACTTGTGTCTTTCATTATCATGAATTAGAACATGTATCAGTGAATATGCTGAAAGGTTATGAATCATAGCTGCAGGTTTCTACCGTCTTTTATGATCTAGGATTACAACAAGACTAGGCCAACAGTGAACAGTAGTCCTAGCAGTCCTTGTATTCAATTTGACAAAAACCCATCACCATTTGAAGGTGTTGTAGTAGCAATCCTGAGTGAGTACAATTCATCTAATGTGTTAGTTGCCATGCACAACTATCTCATACACTTCCATCAGTCTACATATCACAAACTACCTCAACACCTTATGCTCTGCCAGAAAGTGTTGAAGAATTGGATGAAATGCACTGGGTGTGGTTTCTGTGTGCTACTAGCAGATGGTCAGGCCTTTTTCAACCTATCGGCCAATCTGTTGGATTAGCAAGCAGGAAATCCATTGTATCCTGCCAGTGGAGCTTGATACCCCTTTATGTCAGGATGGACTATATACATTGAATATGGTCCATTGAGCACCCTCACCATGTTTCTGCTTATTGCTACACTGTGTGAGGTCTATATTATAGCTAACAGTGTACTCTACTAGGTGCTATGAATGCACATCACTTTCTTAGAGGTTATACAGCCCTGAGAATTACTCTATCTCATCCTTCATACTCAAATGACTTCTGCCATTGCTGCCTTGACTACAGGCCTACCATTGAATGTCCCCACACTGAACACATCTGATGACAACTGGTCCATCTTCTATCTCTGCTTTTCCACTGGTGTCCAAGCCAAAGGGAAATGGGATCACTTCAATGGATCAAAGCCCAAACCCTCTCTCACTGCACCCACAACAGCTCTCATGGCTGAGCTAGATGAATGGGAGAAAGATGAGGCTGTAGCTAAGAACCTTCTGCTCTTGAAGATTCCTGACTCAGTCACCATGAAGATTCAGTGGCTTCCCACAGTTGCTATAGCCTGGTCGAAGATCGAAAAAGAGTTTACTGATAAGAGTGGCTATGCACAAACTGACCTTTGGCAGGAGTTTATGGAGTCACATTGCCTGGCCAAAAGCAATGTTCATGAGTTTCTTGACAGTCTGTCAATGAAACAGGAGTCATTAGCTTCCATTGGTGTCATCATTGAGGAGAAGGATTACCACTCAATAATTCTCATCTCTATCTCTCTCTATCTTGCCAAGCATGCATCGACTCTCCTTATGGTGGCAAAGCTTTTTAGTTCCAACAAGAAAGTTGATTCCAAGAACCTGATCCATGCCATTTCTGAGGAATACAACCAACTGGAGCATGAGCAAGCCAAGTGTAGTCAGCAGTCTGGAAAGGAAAAGGACTCAGAGCAAGATGAAGCCATGTCTGTTTCATCAAGCTCAGGTGGCAATAAGAAGGGCAAGAAATCTGGCAAGAAATTGTGCTGGGGATGTGAAAAGGAAGGACACTTCAAAAACAAATGCCCTGAGAAGAAGTCATCAGACAATGACAGCAAGGCCTCTGGATTGAAGGGTGAAATAGTCAATGTGGCTGAGGAATCATCAGATTTAGACTGGGAAGCTGACAGTGCATTTGGGGTTGATGATGCTAGTGACATGCTGTTGCTGGCTGCAGTTTCTGAGTCAGATGAGTCTGAAATTGAGGGCTTGTCAGAGGACTTGGAAGATGAAGATGATGGTATCAACCTTCTTTTGGAGGTTGGTGATGAGTTGTGGGATGAGCTGAGCAGCATGTTGTCCTCAGATGTTGACTGGAGTGATGTGAACTCCTTTGTTGACAGGCAATTGGATGCCACATCTAGCATGCCAACTTTGAAGAATGTATCTGCTTCTGAAGAGTCAGTTGCAGCTGTTACCAACACTATAAACTCATCTAATGTTCAAATTCATACTGAAATCTACAACTCTGGCTGTACATGCCATATTTTCTCTTACCATGATGATTGCAACTTGTTCCAGTCTGTTCTGCCTAAGGTATTTCATGCTGCAAACACTCAAAAATTTTCTGCAGCTGAAAAGAGCATGATAAGCATTGATGTGCCAAATAGTGCAAATGCAAGCAACCTGCAACTCACCAAGGTCATGTATTCTCCTGAAGTTGGCTATACACTTATTTCAGTTGGCTAACTTGACAATCTTGGTTTCGAGTTGACTTTTGGTGGTGGAAAATGCATCATCTATGCATCAGATGGAAAGATAATTGGAGTTGTCCCAAAAGATGATGGTAGTCTATATTGGGTTCATCATGAGAGAAATTTAGCTGGGACAGCTGAGGAGATGCTTACTCTAGACCAATTGCATTGCCACATGGGTCACATTTCACTTGAAGTTGCTCATTGTCTGGTCAAAAAAGGCTTCATGACTGGAGTAAAGCTTGACAAGTCATCTGAAGAACTACAGTTCTGCAAGTCATATGTCTATGCTAAAGCTATACAAAAGCCAGTGTTTAAGGCTTGAGGAGGAGAATGTGCAACTGATATTAGAGGCAAAATTCACTCTGATTTATGGGGACCTGCACTCATGGAATCTCTGCATAAACACTGTTACTTCATCTCCTTCATTGATGACAGCACTCATTGGGCTTACCTTGAATTCTTATGCCAGAAGAGTGAAGCTTTCACAGTGTATAAGACCTATGAAGCTTGCATCTGCACCCAGCATGACTGCCTTGTAAAAATCCTCCATTCAGACCATGAAGGTGAATACTTTAACAAAGCATTTGTCTTGCATCTGAAAACTGTCAGCATGGCAAGAAAGATGACTATGCATGATACACCACAGCACAATGAGATGGCTGAAAGATATAATTGCACAGTTATTGAAAAAGTCAGAGCTATGCTGTATTTGAGTGGCTTACCTCACTTCCTATGGGCTAAGGCTGTTCACCATGCTGTCTGGATTCTCAATAGAACATCAACAAAGGCTCTGGATGGAATGACTCCTTATGAGGCTGTCACAGAGAAGAAGCCAGATCTAAAAGAGTTGTAGGAATAGGGAGAGAAATGCTAGATATGCCTTAAGACTAAGGCTATAAAGCTGAGTGGCCATATATGTGAAGGTTGGTGGATTGGATTTGATGAAACAAGCAATGGATCCTGTGTCTACTGGACTGAGAGCAAGATGGTGTCCATTGAGTGAAATGTCTATTTCAACACAACTTGTATTGCCACTGATGATCTTGAAGGAGAGGAAGATATTGAGCTACATAAGATTCTGTCAACATCAAAAACTCAGTCCAATCCACCTACTATAAAGCCATCACAGGTGTCACCTATTCTCAAGGCTCAGCCTACAGTCCAACCCATAGTTGAAGAAACCCATTCCAGATGCACTTGAAAGCCTAGCCAGCAGGTGCTGGACCTTATCTCTAGCAAAAGCAGTATATCAGCATGCCCAAGTGATCCTGTGATACCTGTTGGTGTTCAGTTACCAGTCATCAATGAAAACAATGAACCTCTTGAGTTTGAGGGAGAGAGAGGCAGATTGGTTGATGATACTCAAGAATGCTGACTTTCTTGAGGAGTATGCCATGGCTATTTTAACAGCTGATGCAGAAGCTTTAGAACCACATAGTCTAGCTGAAGCAAAGTATCAGTCTGATTAGCCTTTATAGGAAGGTGCAATATAGAAAGAGCTTGTGACATTGAAGACTGCAGAGATTTAGAAAATTGTTGAAAAACCAGTTGAAGCAAATATCATGGGCTCGAAGTGGGTCTTTTGAATCAAGAAGAATGCTGAGAGAGGCATAGTCAAGTTCAAAGCTCACTTGGTAGTATAAGGATTCTCACAAGTATTTGGCATTGACTACTTTGACACTTATGCCTCTGTTGCAAGACTTGCAATCCTTGCTATGACTGCAGCACTCAACCTAGAGCTCCATCAAGTCAATATCAAGGGTGCATACTTGAATGGAAAGCTCACCAATGAAGAAATCATTTATATGTGTCAACCTCCTGGCTATCCTGAGCCTGGCTCTCATCCTGGTCAAATCTGTTGTCTTGTAAAGACTCTGTATAGTTTGAAGCAGAGTGGTCATCGCTGGTATCAATATCTCATTGAGATTTTAGTGGTGCAGCTGGAATTCAAGCAGTGTGATATTGATCAAGCTGTGTTTTACAAGCAGGAGAGCTGAAAATTGACTGTCATTGCTGTCCATGTTGATGACTGCACCATCGCAGCATCATCATTGCATCTAGTGTGAGAGATAAAGGAAGATATGGCAAAATATATGGAAGTCATAGATTTGGAGGAGCTGCACTGGATTCTCAGCATTAAGATCACATGTGACTATGAATCACACTCTGTTTCCCTTTCCCAATGCTCATACATTGATGCCATTGTTCATTGCTATGGCTTTGAAGACCTCAAACCAGTCTCTACTCCAATAGATATTAATCTCTATTTGTCTTCCTTTTTTGCATTAGCCTCTATCTGAGAAATTGCAGCTATGAGAGATGTCTCTTACAGAAAGTCTGTTGGCTCTTTGATCTGGGTTATGCTTGGGACATGCTCTGACATTGCATTTGCCATGACAACAGTCTTAAAATATTCAATGGCTGCTGTAGAGGCCTATTGAAAGGCTGTAAAACACATCTTTCACTATCTGAAGGGCATAAGGGATTACTGGCTGATGTTTGGGGGAAATAGAAAGGTTTTGCATGGATATGTGGATGCTGATGGGAGCATGGCAGAGGATAGGCATGCCATTACTGAGTATGCTTTTATGCTGAATGGTGGAGCTGTTTCATAGTCATCTAAAAAGCAGGAGATCATCTTGCTTTCAACCACTAAGTCTGAATATGTGGCTGCAACACATGCATTGAAGGAGGCACTCTGGCTTTGCAGTCTGCTCTCTCAAGTTTTCTCACCAATTACTGATGCTACAACTTTATTCTCAGACAATCAGTCTGCTATTGCACTCTCAAAAGATCATCAATATCATGCTCAAACCAAGCATATCAATATTCACTTCCACTTTATTTGCTGAGTCATCAGTGAAGGCTCTCTTCATCTTGTTTATTGTCCCACTGAGGACATAGTTGCTGATGCTCTCACCAAGCCTTTACCTTCAGCCAAGGTGAAGCACTTTACTTCTGAGCTTAGACTTTGCTCTGCTTGAGGGAGAGTGTTGGATTAGCAAGCAGAAGCTCTGTTATATCCTGCTAGTGGAGCTTGATACCTCTTTATGTCAGAATGGACTATATACATTGAATATGGTCCATTGAGCACTCTCATCACATTTCTGCTTATCACTATGCTGTGTGAGGGTGAGTATCTACTTATATTACTTTGTTTATATTACTAATTGGTATCCTGTAGTCTACATTATAGCTAACAGTGTACTCTACTAGGTGCTACAAATATGCATCACTTTTTTAGACAATCCATGATGTGAATCTGAACTCAGTTGAAGAAGATGATCATCATATGCTGAATAAGCCCAGACTGAAGATGTTAGAAATTATGAATACAGATCTCTTTTGCCAGGCAACAAATAATGAGCCTTCTGTCTTGGTTATAAATAAATTGTGGTCAACTCCAGTCAGGTTCCATCTTTAGCATTCACAGTTCACATCAGACTCAATCTCTTTCTCTGAACTAGATATAGTAATGATCAGAGCAATGCTTGAATTAGTTGAAATACCATCCTTTAGATTGATGGAGCACTTTGAAGAACATATCAACAAGATACTCACTAATGTTAAGGTGAGAGCCTCTGCTTGATGCTTTAAGTCAGTAATAGCTTACACTAACTTTATATAGATTCCACTTCAAATCACTAAGCTCATTTTTCTCAAAGAAATCATGCTGTCCAGTGTATCTTATGAAGATCAGGTTCAGAAACAGCTATTCAAGTGTGTCATCCCTTTGATAAATCACATCTATATAGCTGCAAGCTTTCCTTATCAATAGTTCTGCTACAATAACCTGGAGATGCAAGCTGCTTTAATGGATCTTAGATAGGTATAATTACCAGTCATATTCTTATTGCTGACAATCTACTGTAGGGATTCAGATGGTTATCTTATCTGTCCTTTATGGTTTAAAGTGAAATGTTTATTAGTCAAATTTGATCTCATTTCTCAAAAAATTGCCAGACCAAAATCATAGTATTCACCACACTCAAATCCTCTGAGAATCTGAATTTGGCTGGACAGGCTGTTTATGTGGTAAAGCCAACCAGTCTTACAATGCTACAAACAAGCACTTGTTATTGCATAGATATGAGACTAGAAAATGATTGACTTGATTATTTATAGAAATATGAGTCTCACTAATAAAAACTCAGTTCTGTGCTATCTCCTGAAATTCTTGATCATTCAACCAACAGAGCAGCAGGCCAACTACCATGCAGCTTTAATTAAATCTGCACCTCACTTGCCAACCATATACACTACAAACTGTGTATTGGCCAAGAGAACAAATAGCTGGAGTTTTCTCATCAGATTTTCCCATCACTGACTTCAAAATATGTCTCACTAAAATAGATGCATCCATTATATGAAGCCTTGTGATCTCTTTCTCCCTCAGATCAGGGTCTACAACTTCATGTTGAGCCTCTTTTGGTGACATACTAGCAGTGAACATGATGTGACCATTTGGAGAAGCATTAGCCCAAATAGAGACCTTCAGCTCAGCATCAGTTGAACTGGCAGTGATATTACTGAGTAGGCTGAGTATGTATTTATTCTATACATGCATGCCAACAAACTGCTGGGTGCTCCTAATACCTTCTTTAAGAGCCAAAATGTCGAAATCAATAGTAAGCAAGCCCAAGTCAATCAGAGGCTGATTAAAAGCACTGATTATATTGAGTTGAATACTTCCTACTGGATGTGTATGCTAGTTAATCCAGCATATGACATGTATGAAATGCTTACTCAAGATGGGTGTGTTGAGACTGAGGCTTATAGTCATGAAATGTCCTTCAGAGGGAGGAGAAATATTGCTATTCAATCTGGTATCCAGATAGACCCTGACTCTACTGCTGTATACTAATTAACTTAAAACAAGCTGCTGGGTCAGAATTTGTTTCAAAGGTAGTAGGGTTTTTTGAAAGATGCATAAAGACTTGGTGAGTGATATAGGGTCCAATTCCCAGAGGTCTATCACCATCTGTCTCAGGCAATTTGGCAATTCTGATCCTGAGCCCAGCTAGTCACCTGATCTACTGGATTCTGAAACCCTTAGACCAGCAAGAGAAGTTATCTCCTTGGAGGATAACCGCCTCTGGATGAAGCCAAAGAAAGCAGCAAGGATCTGGTTAAGGATGATTGTGAGGCAATCCACCTGAGATTCACTATATGAAATAGGGTGATCATATGAAAGAAAACTGGACCAATAGAAAGTCTTATCACTAATGATAACTCTCTGCACTTATTCTCTAGACTGCCAGCCAAATGGTGATATCTGCCCTTCAATCAGTAGCTCAACCCAATAGAGACACTATCTGAAAATGCTGCCATTCTTCAATGCTGCCTTGATCTATTAAAGAAATCCCACCCCTTCAAGAGTGCTTTTGATGATATTGACCATTTTCTCATAGACTGTGAGCAGTATTTTGAGGTCTATACCACTTTCTTAGGAATAGATATAAATTGTGTCACATTTGCTTTATCTTATCTCAAGAAAAAAGCCAAAACATGGTGGATTCTCATCTCTCCCAACTTCTACTTGATAACCAGGCAGCACCATTGACTGCTGTCCTAGTCAGTCTTCAAGCAAATGCTTACAGACAAGTTTATTAATCTGACAGTACAAGAAGTTCATAAGATGAAGATCAAGGAGTATAAGATAGGTGACAAGTTGGCAACTGAATATTTTGATGAGCTAGAATACCTTGTGAAGCTTGCCAGGATATGCAATGACATCAACAATGATGATAGAATAGTCAAAGCACTCAAATGGGATGTCCTGCTGTTCTATATTAAAATGATATTGGATATTAGAATAAATATTCTGAAGAATTATAACACATGAAAGAAGCAGGTCATCAAGATGTATAAGGAATGACAGCATCAGAAGGTGGAACAATCCAACCTTTAAGAATATCATAAATTAAGCCAGTCACCAAATTCAAACAACTCAAATCCCAGTAATCAGACTGGCACCACTAAATCTAACTCATTGCCCATCCTTTTGTATGAAACACAGAAAATAGAAACTGGGACAACATACACTAGAGCAGAGAAACTGATAGACATTAACTGCCTCAAGAAGGAGAGGAAATGTTTCAATTATAGCCAAAAGAGTCACATGTTGTGGGACTGCCTAAAAAAGAAGTGAACAAGAGAGGATATCCAGACACAGATTGCTAAGTTGCAGAAAGAAGAAGATGAACTCAGCAAAGAAACCAAGATTGAGGAGGTAAAAGACAGAACCAACTAGTGAGCAATTCCACTAGATTAGCCAAAAGACTTTATAGTGTGCAACAAACAGCTGCTGAATGGACTGATAGTACTTCTATAGTTATCTCTATATCTAAAATATATATGCATTTGAATATACTCAAATTCTCCATCATGATGCACACCACTAATGAATTGCTAGAAAAAAAGGCTCAACTGCCTATGGGCCAAATAGAGGGAGAGACCCCCATCAGATGGCTCAAACTATTCAATACTGAATGGACTTGAAGGGTTATTGAAGACACTAGGACAGAGGAAGAAGCCAAGGCTGTACTCAAGAATTGAGTACATAAGATCTAGGCTGAAGAAGTGATCAATGAGATAGTCAAAGGAATGTGACAAGCAGAGTGGTGCCAAGCACTAGAATGGCTTGATAAACTCCAGAGACTCTGGAGATATGTCAGGAGAATAAAAATCCAGAGATGAGACTTAATGATAAAAGTCCAAATTAAAATACTTGCAAATTGAACCATGTATGCAATAATAGCTTTAATCTACAGCAGTTGCACTAGTAGCTCTATCAACTATGCATTTGTTGACAAGCATCACCTTTCCATCAGGGCCATCACTGCCTCTATCCTGGTTTACAATGCAGATGGAACCAAGAACCAAGCTGGTTCAATAACTGAGTTCATAGAGTTACATCTAACTATCAGCAATCACTCAGAAAGAATTGATTTGGCCATAAAAGAAGTGTTCCTGGAATATGATTGGTTGATCTGACACAACCCTCTAGTCAACTGAAAAACCAGGTGGATCATCTTCACACAATGCAAATGCCAAAAAATTCCTTTCAAACTGCCTGATAAAGACCCTAAGAATCAATGAGACAAGAAAATAAAGGATAGTGAAATGATACTTGCTGTTGACATGCAGAAACATTACACATTCAAGCAGTATATCATACCAATAATTTAGCAGCTAGAGCCAATGCTGAGAAGGAGAAGAAGATGTTTGAGAAAATAGTCTCAGAGTGGATTTGGGATTATCATGACTTGTTCAATAAGGAGAGTTTCAATGAATTACCAGAACTGAAACCCTGAGATCATACCATCAAGTTGATCCCCAATGCTAATGCCAACCTTGATTGCAAGGCCTATTCTCTTAGCAATCATGAACAACAAGAACTTGATAAGTTCTTAGAAGAGAATCTTTTTAGCAGATGGATCTAACCATTGAAATCTCCAATGGCCTCACTCTTTTTCTTCATCAAAAAGAAAGACAGCAAACTCCAGCCAGTACAGGATTATCAGAAGCTAAATGAGATAATGATCAAGAATTGTTATTTGCTTCTATTGATTTTCAAACTAATGGACAAGCTATGAGAGGCAAAGTATTATACTAAATTAGATGTTAGATGGAGGTACAACAATGTGCAGATCAAGGAGGATGATGAATGAAAGATGGCATTCTGAACTAACCAGAGGCTGTTCAAGCTAATAGTTATATTTTTCAGATTAACAAATTTACTGGTGACTTTTCAATAGATGATGAACAATATTTTCAAAGATCTCATCTCCACAGGAAAGATCATAATTTACTTGGATAACATTCTAATCATGTCTAAGAACCAGGCTGAACACCAAAGACTAGTCTGACAAGTGCTCAAATTAATGAGAAAATATAAACTTTTTCTCAAAGCTGAGAAGTGTGAGTTTGAAGTCCTGGAGATGAAGTATCTGAATGAATCCCATCAAGGTAGCTAAAGTAGCTGAGTGGCTGATCTCAACAAAAAAGAAGGAACTTCAATCCTTCCTGGGGTTCACTAACTTCTATCAGCAGTTCATTCAGAACTACAGCAAAATTCTATGATCTGTGACTCAGTTAACTGGCAATGCACTGTAGAATTGGGGACTTTTCCAACAAGCTGCATTTGACAACCTAAAATGACACCTTGCTGAGGACATCATTCTTGCCATCCTGATACAGGAGAAGAAGTTCTCAGTCAAGACTAACTTGAGCAAGAGGGCCATTGGCACTGTACTTTCTCAGAAATAAGATGGGAAATAGTGACCATTGGCCTTCCTCTTCAAAGTCTTAACAGTAACTGAACAAAACTATAAGATATATAACAAAGAGCTACTTGTGATAATGCTCACCCTAGAAGAATGTCATCATTATCTAATTGGTGCAGTTCAGATCTTTGAAGTCTGAACAGATCATCAAAACCTGCAATACTTCTGCTCATCTCAGAAAATCAATTAATGACAAGCATGATGGGTGACTGAGTTATTCCAGTATAAATATATCCTCCACTACAAGGCAGGAATCACAAACAAGAAGACAGACCTACTTAGCTAGAGGGCAGATCATGATCAAGAAGGAGACAACAATGAGAGAGTGGTGCTATTGAAGCCTAAACACTTTCAGGCTATAATAATGTCAACCAAAGAGGAAATCCATGAGAAAATCAAGAGTGCCACAAGAGATAGTAGCAAATGGGACCAACAGGTGGCTCTATCACTCAACCATGAGCAAGAAATGACAAAGAAGAGTGGGATGATCTGTTATGATAGATGGATCTATATTCTAAGAGATTCATAACTTTGCAGTGAAATTATCACTACATGTCATGACTATGCAACAGCAGACCATCTAGGGATCACAAAAACCAAGGAGCTAGTACTCTAAGAATATTGGTGGCTAAAGATGGGCCAAGACATCAAACAATATATGAAAGAGTGCAAGATATGCTAATAAAGAAAGTTGACAACATAATTATATGCTGTATCACTATATCCAAATGAAATCCTACAGGCACTATAGATGCATGTCTCTGTCAACATAATAACTAGACTACTGAAATGCAATAGCTATGATGCTATTATTATCATAGTTGATCACTTCTCAAAGGTGATTATTCTGGTCATGTGCTTGATAGAACTAACTTGGGAAAGATGAGCTAAGATACTTTGTGATGAGGTATATGCTAAATATGATATACTTTAAGTGGTAATTTCTGATCAAAGACTATAATTTGTCTCAAGGTTTTTGGATGACTTGTATCATCTTCTTAACATTTAGTAGAATGCCTTGACTGCATATCACCTACAGACTGATAGGCAAATGGAGCAAGTTAATCAAGAGATTGAGAAGTATTTTTGTCTCTTTATTAACTATTGATAGGATGGCTGGGTAGAATGGCTTGCTCTTGCAGCATTCCAATATAACAACTGTATCTATTCTGCTATGGGTAAAACACTCTTCTTTATCAACTATGGCTGACATCTGAATATATCCCACACTGAATGTGCTCATACCACTATACTCACATCTTTCAACTTCACTCATACCATATCTAAAATTCATAATAAAATCTGTGCTACCCTTAAAAAGGTGGCCTTCTTGATGAAAGCCCAATATGATAAACACCATATTTCTGCCTGCTCTTATAATGCTAATGACAAGATCTAGTTAGATATAGTCAACCTTCACCTACCATATCCCAAAAGAAAATTCACAGACAAATATACAGGACTATTTTCCATCATTGCCAAAGTCAGAGCTTCTATATATAAACTATGCCTTCTAGCCATCTGAAA